TGGGATATGGTTGGTCGGCGTCTCACTCGTGATCCGCGTCCTGCAGTTTCCAAAGACGAACTTTGGTTGCGCATACAAGCGATATGGAATTCTCTTCCTCAAGCAGATATTCAACATCTGTTTGACTCCATGCCACGTCGTATAGCAGCACTTATTGCAGCGCGTGGTGGCTGCACCAAATACTGATTTCGGACGCTTAATTTGTTTCTTTTGTTTTGAAAATTTCATCATTTATTTGTATCAGTACAAGTCGTTTCTGCATTAAATTTCATTTGATTCTGATGATTCTTTCATGGTGTTGCATTTTCTACAAACAGCAGTTTATATATAAGGTTATTACTATAAAACAACTATAATTAAGGTTATTACAATAATATTATGAAATAATTACTACTTAATAATTAATTACTTCGAGCAAAATCCGTTTATACGATTCTACACTATTTTAAAGCTATTAGACAAATTTGAATCAATAAACTGGTATAATATGACTTTCAGCGTTTAGTGACATTTATTCAGTTCTTTGAAGAAGAACCAGTTAAATGAACTTCGTCTTATACATCACAGTCAAATCGTTCAATTCGAATCGATTCAATGATTATTTTTGCTCAGCCTTAAGGGACTGTCTTCAAATTTCGAGATACTTCAGTGAACATTGAAGTATCTCGAAATTTAATACAGTCCCTTGAAGCTGAGAAAAAATAATCATTGAATTGATTCAAATTGAACGATTTAATTGTGTGGTGAAGTGATTTGTTGTGTTGCTGAAGTGTTCTAAATATTGAAATGTGCTTTTAGTTAATCAGTGCATGTTTTATATTTCTGTGTAATTGATTGTTGACTTGTTTGAAATATTAAAAATAAAATTTTGATTTGCAGTTTTAAAATAACGTATTATTTAAATATTGCAGAATGTATGGCTCATTTACAGTAGACATAATTGCAAGTTCAGCCTTTTCTACTAAAATTGAGTCCCGCAACGATCCCAATAATATATTTGTCAAACATGTGAAAAGAATGTTCGAACAGAATCCTAGCTTTCGTCAAATACTTGCCTGTAAGTCAATTTAAATCTATATTTTTATTTTCAAAAACTAAAACAAGTGGTACTCTGAACCGTTGATTAATACAGTGGTACCTCCTTAACGTGAAATTGGCGGGGCTATCATAATTATTTAATTTCAACCAGATTTCCTCTCATCCGACAAATCATGAAAACAATTTATTACGTATTATTAATGCATATTATGTACTACACTAATATATCTAAACAATGCTATTATGTACCAAACAAATTAAAATAAGCTTAACATTTTTAATTATTTTATTTAACTATTTTAATAAATTTTCCCATCTCTTACTCCTAACAAAGGTGGAAAATAGAAATAGCATTCCTGAAAATGAATAATTGGCACTTTATTCTCATGCTTCTTATTTGTGTTGTGTCCAGTTTCCCTTCATTGAAGCTTTATAATTAGCTTGAAAATTTCATGTTAAAACATGTAAAATACAATAATAATTTATTTCTGGGTGATAGCATAATAAAATAACGAGATTTTTATCTAGCAAACAATTAGGTCCAAATACCAGCACAAGGGAGCGTATTATATTCTTATAGAAAACATGTAGCAACCATTAGTAATTCAATCATCTGTTTTTGTTTGTCCCCGTTTTCAACTATCTGTTATCATGAGGAACTTGAAATCACTTCTTCAGACGCTGAAAGAAGTGCATGCCTGGGAATATTGGAAATACAGGGTGTCCCAAAATGACCGTATAAACTCTGCACAGCTAGATTCCTCGTTTGGAGTACATAAAAACTGCCCAACGAAGCGTTACTGTACGATCCATAGTTTACGAGAAAAATACGAAAAACAAAGTATGACGTCACTGCCGGTGCAAGAGAAAACACTTTATTGAACATATCAACAGCAGTATACTATGCACAATTTAAAACAGAATATGCACGGCGAACGTTTTAAACGTTATCGTCTTGAAAGATATGCAAATATTGTTGTTGATATGTCCAACAAAGTGTTTTTTTTCTTTTACCGGCAGTGACGTCATATTTCGTTTTTCGTATTTTTCTCGTAAACTATGGATCGTACAGTAACGCTTCTTTGGGCAATTTTCATGTACTCCCAATGAGGAATCTAGCTGTGCAGAGTTTATGCTGTCGTTTTGGGACACCCTGTATGTAGTATTCTAGTTCAGATATAGGTGTAAAAGGACCACGAGAGCCCAAGTCTTTGATCTATTCCGACAACGAAATTCGCAAGATTTCAAATATGGAGATGTGTTAAGCCAGGGGTGGCGAACCTTTATACACCAACGTGCCATTTTTTCTAAAAAATTGTTTGAGGTCATAGACATGCCGTCAAATAATTTTGACTTTCGTGTTCATTGGGAAAATATTAATACTAAATACTATCAACTCAAAACTCTTTATTTACATTGAGAAAAAAAATTGCACTGTCTCAGTTATACGCGTAATTCAACTCAAAGTAACATCAGTGTGACTTCTGTAGTTGCAGATCAGATGACAAATGACTTATATTAGGTTGTAAGTTGTTAATTTAAGCAGGACTGTTAATTTTTTTGCTAGTTATTTATTGTTAGCTTATTTTTTATGATTATTAATTAATTTTTTTTAGCATTAATTGTTAATTTTTTATTAATAATTGTTTATTATTTTGTGTGTTTTTTGTTAATTTTAATTTATTTGTTACATATGCTTCATAGTATAATACCATTTGTGTAATAACAAATGTGATCGGTGACGTGCCCGAAATGTTGTGTCGGGTGCCATAAATGACATGCGTGCCATTGGTTCGCCATCCCTGCAATAGCTATTTGCATATGTTCTCTAAATAAAACCGACTAGTGATGATTAGTTTTTTTCCCCTCTAGATGTTTTGCTCATCGTTTCATAATGCCATTACTTAATTTACACGAAATTCGGCTGCACAGTTTGTGATGCAGATTGCTCGCAAATGACGCTCAAATATTTTGACACAGATTACAACGAACTGTATTGAACCAATTGCTTCGAAATAGCATTTAAAAATTAGTAGTATAAATAAGGTTATTAAATATTACAATAATGTTATGAAACATGATTACTTCGAGTAAAATCCATTAATACAATTCTGCACTATTTCAAAGCTATTAGACAAATTTGAATCAATAAACTGGTATAACATGACCCTCAGTGACCCTAGTGACATTTAGTCAGTTCTTTGAATAAGAACCAGTTAAATGAACTTCGTCTTATACATCACAGTCAAATCGTTCAATTCGAATCGATTCAATGATTATTTTTGCTCAGCCTTAAGGGACTGTCTTCAAATTTCGAGATACTTCAGTGAACATTGAAGTATCTCGAAATTTAATACAGTCCCTTGAAGCTGAGAAAAAATAATCATTGAATTGATTCAAATTGAACGATTTAATTGTGATGTTCTTCTCCTGAGTAGTTTACAGAGATGGTAGTTACGGATTCGTGGAGTCACTTCCAGAATTTAAACATAGACCTGAAGCGGGGAATAGAGAATTTTAGGGGAGTGGATTCTAAATTTATTTTTAATGGTATTAATAATTAAAATATTGGTCAATGGAATATTAACCATCGAACAGTCTGAAGCAGATTATCAAACGGTACCACGCTGGCGACGGCGCACGAACACACGGGTCATCGCATGGATGTAGGTTAAATACAGCTCTCGTACCAAAAGAGTAAGAGTAATTTTAAAATAATGTTATTTTTTTATTAATCTTTCAGTTGCGGCTCCAAATCTGGCAAGAAAACTGGGTGTGAAAATCGTTCCTCAGGATTCCTTGAACTTTTTCCGTGACACAATTTATGAAATAATCAAGCAAAGGAGAGAGACGGGACAGGTAATTTTATTAACTCTTATTTATCCAACTCTACTCTCTGTAGTTGTTCCGCTAAAACAGAATATATACTCACTGTAGGAAGAAACAAAACAAAATTTGTGAAAAGAGCAAAACAAGAACAATAAATAACCTTTTATTTCAAACACTCAGTTACATCTCACATGATAAATATGATTTCATAACCGTTGTTGAACAGCCTACCTAATTTTGGGTTTAACTCAGTGCCCATGTAATTTTGTACCCAATCCAGAAGACAAGGGAACTCCTGGATCAAGTATTGGGAGACATTCGAGGAGGACTTTTTTTATGGACTAACCTGCAATTGCGTTACATGGAGGGAAAACCACGAAAATTTCCTACGATTATCGTCAGTACTGTGGTCAGTAAGAGCCGGTTGCAAAATTCACATCGACCAATCATCGCTGGGATTCAAACCCGGCTCACCTCATTGGAAGGAGAACACTCTATCCCCTTAGCCACGAGATAAATATAGTTAAAAAAATTACAATTCATATAGAGCGGGATATCCTGGTTTGTAAAACAATAGGCTTGTGTTTGTGAGAACGTGAGTTCGAACCCCCCCCCCCCCCNCCCCCCCCCCCCCGGCCAGAGAATCCACATTTATTAAAATGGTGACTGGTGCTGTCGGGGTCACAAAGTCCTCCACGTTCCCCTAGCAAATCAATACCTCTGGGGTTACTGAATTGGAGATTAATCGTTCTCTGGTTCAGGTCAAAATTACGATTTGCAGATCAATTAATGGTGTATGATTGGATCCTCCCTGTATAATTCGCTTGTGACGCATAATTCCCTGTATGAAGGCTTTTTCTTAGCCATAGATGGCGAAACTGTAAAACAAGAAACGCACACTCTGCCTTAGAAATGTGCTTGATTTCTCAAACAAACTTGCTGATGTTTGCGAAAGGAAGTAACATCATCTGGGGCCTGGATAGCCTGGTTTGTAGGGCACTTGGTCCATGTCCAAGAGTTCGTAGAGTCGATCGCAGGCCGGCCGAAGACTCCCCCCCCCGTGTAGTAAATGGTCACTGATGCACGTTAAATCTGACGAGTCGCAAAGTCCTCCTAGTTTCCATAACAAATAAATACCTCTGGGGGTACTGATCCAGGAGTTTCTTTCTCTTCTGGATTGGCTCTAAATTACAAGATTACGGAGTTGAGCATTAGTAGTCGTAGACCAAAAATTGGGTCTGCTGCTCAACGACGGATATAAAATAAAATGAAAAGTAACATCATCTACAGCACGATCCGTATTTTTATATAAATATATGCAAATATTGTTCTTTCGCAAAAATTTATTATTTCCAAAAAAATATTCGAAAATTTATAATCTAAGTTTTGTCTGAATATCTAAGTTTATATCTAAGTTAAATATATCTAAGTTAAATATTTAAGTTTTAATGCGCGAAACGTTTACTATTAAAAAAAGGCGTTAAAAAATTGTATTCTATTCAGATTTAAAGCTTAAGTTTACTCAGTCGATTGGATGCTCCCTTTGCACCCAGAGGCAGGCATTTCTGAACGCTGATGTAACCCAATTGCTCTAAAGTTCAATTTTCATTCATAAATATATGGCATTATAATATTTTCGTTAATCTAAAAGATATTTTTTATTTTTTTAATCAAACAGACAAGAAACGATTTTCTACAGTTATTGCTGGAATGTGCAAATGAAATTCCAAAAGAAGACCTTAATGAACTAATGTCAGAAGAAGTCACTCAGAATTATGGTTCAGAATCTGCTGATCGTACATATTTCAAAAATATATCATCAAAAAGTGAGTTGTTGTTTTTTCAATCAACATTCCTTTTTTATATCATTTTTAACTACGAACCAACCACTGCTAACATTGAAATCTTAAAATATTGAATTTCCAACTAAGTTTCCACTGTTGACATACGGAATGTTATAAATAGTATTTATAATATGTATATGATNTTAGGACCCATAATCCTCATAGAACAATCCTTGACGCCTGTAAGCTACTTGAACATAGTTGCAAACCAGGTTCACCCATTTATGGCAACAGTTTTTCCTGCTGGGGATGGTGTTTACCAACAGGATAATGTACCATCTCATAAGGGTCGAATCGTCATGGATTGGTTCGAGGAACATCATTCCAGTAACTTTCAAGTCATGTCTTGGCCCCCAAATTCACCTGACCTTAACCCTATCGAGCATTTGTGGTTCTACTTGGAAAACCAAATTCGTGCTGCCACGCCACCCCCTCTCAATGTGAGGGAATTACAGGACCAGTTGGTGAGCGCTTGGCACCAGGTACCTCAGACTACCTATCACCACCTGGTGGAATCAATGCCACGGCGGGTGCTAGCAGTTTTGAGGGCTAAAGATGGTCATAATGTAATGGCTCTTCGGTGTATATATATAATATTCTGTAAAATACTGATTCGATTCGAGATATTGTTTTTCAGATTATAAAAAGGAAATATCACGCTGAAAAAAATTAGCTTTCCCGATACTTTTTTTTTGCTTCTTATTTAGAATTTTAGAACTTCAGAGGCTGCGCGTGACGTTTCTTTTGTATTTGGAAAAGGTGCTATAGTTGAAAGACCCGCTCGTGATAGGTATGCCTAGTTAAAAAATAGATATTATGACCTCAAATTCTGGCCATCCTTTTCAGTTCGATGAATTACGATTAAACCAATACTCATTTTGTTCAAAAATTCACGTTAACAACTTGAGAACTTACAGAAAAGATGGAATGTTCCAATACTTTAAAGTTTAAACAATTTTAAAAACGGCTGGATGTTAGTTGCTGACCCAATAAATTTTCCTAAGGAAATTATGAAAATATGAACTTATGTATTTCTGAATATTGCCGGAGTATAGAAACTGTTATACGCAGGCTGCAGTGGTTCTAAATTAGAAAATATATTTGGGGAGGGGGAAACACAGACTAAGCAAAAGCAAAAAATATAGAGCTAACACTTATGCAAGTTTCAAAAAAGTAACACATTTTCTAAAGTAATTACATTAACGTCACGTCATTTCACTAATCTGTCCATTGGCAATCCATAAATGATCAATAAGTTAATTACCAGTCTAACTTACGTTGAACGAGACTTAGCAGGACTTTAACACGCCCTCTTGTTTCTAAACGATCGGCTGGCGCTGAGTTCATAGGCATAGATCATATGTCTGCGTATCAGTGATCGTCTTCTTCTCGAGGTGCAAGTACCCAAATATATTTGATTAACATCTCCTTGAATTTCGTTGTAGTTGTTGATGTAGTTCATTTACGTCGCACTAGAGCTGCACAATGGGCTATTGGCGACTGTCTGGGAAGCATCCCTGATGATGATTCGAAGGCATGCCATCACAGTTTTGATCCTCTGCAGAGGGGGGGATGGCACCTCTGCTTCGGTAGCCCGACGACCTGCACGCGAAGTCGGGTACTTTACGGTAGAACAGTTTAACGAGGACCAATACCGCCCACCCTCGGTCCCTACGCAGACTGATCCAAGTGGTCACCCACCAGCACACTGACCACAGCCAGTGATGCTCGGTGATCTGCCGTGAACCGTGTCTTAACGATCAGTCCACTGTGGGACCCTTGAATTTCCAAATAATTCTTATATATTAATTAATGTTTGAGTTCTTATCTATATATATATTTCTCCTACACGGCACCAAAAAAAAGCCTCATTACAACTCCCCGAATGGCAACGTTAGAAAATCGACCAATGATTGCTGCTGAAAATGTCACATGGCAAAACTATATGAGGAGGCTCAGCATATAGCGCTTTTAAAAACGGAAACAATAACCAGAGTGAGCATTATCAGGTTGTTCAATTCAGATTCATGACCTAAAAACATGATAATATTTAATTCAAACTATCTCAACATATAGCGCTTTTAAAAACGGAAACAATAACCAGAGTGAGCATTATCAGGGTGTTCAATTCAGATTCATGCCCCAAAAACAATATTTAATTTAAACTGGCTCAACATATAGCGCTTTTAAAAACGGAAGCAATAACCAGAGTGAGCATTATCAGGTTGTTCAATTNTCAAAGTGGTCACCCACCCGCACACTAACCGCAGCCAGTGATGCTTGACTTCGGTGATCTGCTGTGTAACGTGTCTTAACGATCAGTCCACTGTGGGACCCTTGAATTTCCAAATAATTCTTATCTATTATTCAATGTTTGAGTTCTTATTACGTATAAATATTGAAAAAGGTTTTAATGTTAGTTTGCACAATTTCCAGGTCTGTCGATGGATGAGATTGTAGCTCAATGTATCCTATTCTTTATTGCTGGATATCAGACCACAACATTGCTGCTTGGATACACAACATACAATTTAGCCGTGAATCAAAAAATTCAAGATAAGGTCTTCGAGGAAATTAAGGAACAGCTGAGAGAAACTAATGTAAGTATTGCCTTTACGCAATAATGCATCGTACTTTCGCCAAACTTTAAGTTTAGCTATGTGTTCAATGAGTATTATTGAAGAATAATAAAGTACAATGCAGTAAAAAATAACCTTTAAGCTAATTGTAACGTATGATCGATCTAATTTTAAGATGATTCTAGAGTCTTTACTTTAAATATTCAAATTTAAGCCGTCTGGTGGTCTGGGAGTTGACCTCATGTCAGAAAGATCCCGGTTTGAATCCCGGACATGAAGTGGATGCTCTTTTCATCTCTGTACTATCTGTGCTTCTCACTGTGTTAGCAACACTGGCCCACTTAATATGACGCCCCTGAGAAATGATCAACAAATATGCCCTTCTAATATTCGAATGACGAATTCGGGACAGCATTGGCAAAAAATAAATATTCAACTTTTTTTCTGTTCAGGTGATATTTTGCAAAATCTAACTTCCTCTAATAAAAATGCCTTTCATCGATGAATTTGCATTGGCCCTCAAAATAGGGGGTAGCAGCAATCTAGAAAATATTATTCCTTTAGTTTAGGCTTTAGATAAAGTCTTTAGATAGTTTATATTATCCCTTTAGTTAAGAAGATCACAATACCCACAGATATGACCTCTAACGTCAGCTCCAGCTGATTGCTTATAAGCAAAATAGCGTGTTCAAGTTAAGCTAGGTTGAATGTTACTTAACGTATAAGTCAGACCACATAACCACATAACGCACCACCACATAAATCAGAATGTTAATTAACGTTGTTAATGTTAATTAATGTTGATTAAATACAGCGCCGTATCTCGCATCGAATTTTTTGAAATATAATTCTTTCCCGTCTACGTATTTTAGTTAACCTAGATCCATACATTTGTTTGTGCATTTTATTGTAACCGTGATATATTTTTGTTTCGTGCAACTGGCAACTTCGATGCATAATTAGTTTATATTCTACATAGCTTCATACCTGTCTTTGTGTTAAGTAAGAAATAAGAAGTGAAAGAATGGAAATCTTTTGAATGAAGGAATTTTTGTGTAAGAATATAGAATGTGTCACTTAAGAGAATTAATAGTGGATGATTTTGACTTACTCAAAATAAAATGAAAAGAACAATTGCAAACGTAAACAAATGCCACGTTTCAACAACCAATCACGATCAATATACCCACACTACGTCATTTGCGGGTATCCCATTGGAGTAAGCACTTTCTGTTGAGAAAATTTTTAAACTACTTGAACCGGTTTTTGGCAAATTCGACCTTTTGAAAAAGTATAATTATTCCATTTGAGATTAATCATATGCTTTTACGATGGATTAAAGTTATAATTTCGGTTAAAAAAAATTCATAAAAAGTAATGTGTGTTCAACTAAATGATTTGACTATTGATTTAGTCAATGGTGAGCCATTTTATTTCTTAAATAAAATATTTTTCATGCATAAAATTTTTTTCTGTGTCTTAATGTAATTCAAGTATATTTCAATGAAAACATTACCACATTTTATAAAATTTCTATGATTGGTCTAAAATGAGTTAAGGTACTTAATTTTTTTTATTTTGTACGTTGTAATTTTATTAAAGCTTTTGTAGTTAAACAAACTTACTCACAAAACTATTATGGCCTATTACTTTCAATTCCCAACATTCTCTCCCCATCTCTAAAAATTTCTATTTAGATTCGAGTCAAAAACTTTCGCCTCATACGCATTAAAAAACACAAAATAGGGAGAAGAAAAATTTCTTTGGTGTCGAACGAATTAAGTTCAATGCTATTCGTCAACTTTCTAATAACTGTTATATATTTTTTCTGTGCAAAGTAACTTACGAAGCTTTTCAGAATATGAAATATTTAGACAATGTTATTTGTGAGCATTTCGTCCACTTTCTAATAACTGCAATATACACTGAAGAGCCAAAAAAAACTGATACAGGCATGAGTATGCAAATAAAGGGGTATGGAGCCAATCAAAGTACAGCGCTGCGATCGGCAACGCGTATATAAGACAACGAGTGTCTAGCACAATTCTTTCCGCCCCAGCAAAAAGACTATCCAGACGAAAGCCCGGACTCCTGCAACTTCAGCCCACCGACTTGTGACCCTCATGAAAGAACTACAAGAACTCATGAAAGATCAGGAAGTGCTGTGCCTACTACAAACTCCACTAAAGGGGTTCTCCCCTTCCAATTGATGCACCATTGCCTCCAACCCAAGTCTTACTCCAACAAAGACTTTTACCTGAACTTTTTAGTTTAACATATGGACTAACTTAGGACTTTTTAGTTTTATGTCATCATATTTCAGACGAATCGGTAAGTGGCGCTTCGCGCCAAAAGCCGAGATTTCCCACATTCACATCACATCATATCACAGCACAGTTCTTAAATCGGCTACTGCTGCTACAATGCCGGGTTATACAGATTTAAGTGAGTTTGAACGTGGTGTTATAGTCGGCGTACGGGAGATGTGACATAGAATCTCCGAGATAGCAATGAAATTTGGATTTTCACGTACGTCCATTTCACGAGTATACCGTGAATATCGGAAATCCGGTAAAACATCATTATTGAACATTATTGAGCATATTTGGGATGCCTTGCAACGTGATGTTCAGAAGATATCCCCACCCCCTCTTACTCCCACTGGCTTATGGTGTCAATTATCTCCAGCACTACTTCACACATTGATCGAATCCATGCCACGTCGTGTTGCAACACTTCTGCGTGCTCGCGAGGGTCCTACACGATATTAGGCAAGTATATCAGTCTTTTTTCTTCTTTTTTTTGCTCTTCAGAGTATTTTTCACGGCAAAGTAGCTTACGAGGCAATTCAGAATACGAAATATTTAAACAATGTTATTTCTGAAGCACTTCTTCAACTTACTATTAACTGTTATATATTTTTTCAGGGCAAAGTAACTTACGAAGCAATTCAGAATAGGAAATATTTAGACAATGTTATTTCTGAAGCACTTCGATTGCATCCACCTGTTGTAAGGTATGAATAAAAAGTTTCTGATTTTTGTTCGAATTTTTGCTCGAATTTTTGAACTATTGAATACAAGGGAATTGATATACAGGGTATAACACAATGACAGCCTTTATGGTACCCAAATAATTAAGGAGACTTAATTTTAAAATAACTTTTTTTCTCTTTTTTTTAGTGAAGACCTGATATATGTACTGAAACGCAATATTATTGGCTTGATTAACAAGCATTGAAGCATAAATTTAAAACTAAATTTAAATTGCTCGTTGAAATCTAAGTAGTTGAAGCACTGAAACTAATTCCTTAACATCCTATCCAACACTTAACTATTCAAGCATTTCAAATCTAATTTACTTAATTTCATAGATACTTTTTCATCACGTTGGATAGAAGAGCTGTAGTAGATTACGAATTAAAAATTCGATGATTCCTAAAAGATCTAAATTTACCAAGCATTGAAATGTAAATTACTGAATTATTGAAACTAATTCTTTAATATTCTATTCAATATTTTAACTTATCAAGCATTTCAATTCCAATTTACTTCATATAATTGGGAATTTTTTGTCAGGTTGGACAAAAGAGCTGTAGTAGATTCCGAATTAGCAAGTACTGGATTCTTCAGGGATTTTAACTAATCAAGCATTGAAACCTAAATTGTTGAAGTATTGAAACGAAAACTATCTCTGAATTAAAACCTTATTTACTTAATTTCATTAACCAATTTGTTAACAGGTTGGGCAGAATAGGCGTAGTAGATTACATGTTAAAAGGTACAGGATTCCATAAGGATTTAAATTGACCACGCATTGAAACCTAAATTACTGAAATTTTGAAACTGAAACTATCCCAGCCTTAAAACCTAATTTACTTTATTTCATTAACCAATTTTTTAACAGGTTGGGCAGAATAGCCGTAGTAGATTACATGTTAAAAGGTACATGATTCCTTAAGGATTTAAATTGACCACGCATTGAAACCTAAGTTATTGAAATATTGAAACTAAAACTGTCCGAGCATTAAAACATAATCTAGTTTTTACTAATGACCAATTTTTTGTAACATGTTGAACAGTATAGCTATAATAGATTACGATTTAAATTTTACAATATTCCAAAAGGATTTAAGTAAACTAAACATTAAAACATAAATTGTTCAAGTTATAAATCTAAAACTATCTCTGAATTAAAACCTAATTTACTTTATTTCATTAACCAATTTGTTAACAGGTTGGGCAGAATAACCGTAGTAGATTACATGTTAAAAGTTACAGGATTCCATCAGGATTTAATTTGACCAAGCATTGAAACTTAAATTATTGAAGTATTAAAAGTAAAACTATCCAAGCATTAAAACCTAATTTACTTTATTTCATTAACCATTTTTAGCAGGTTAGGCAGAATGACTGTAGTTAATTACGAGTGAAAAAGTACAGGATTCCTTAAGGATTAAAATTGACCACGCATTGAAACCTAAATTACTGAAATTTTGAAACTGAAACTATCCCAGCCTTAAAACCTAATTTACTTTATTTCATTAACCAATTTTTTAACAGGTTGGGCAGAATATCCGTAGTAGATTACATGTTAAAAGGTACAGGATTCCTTAAGTATTTAAATTGACCGAGCATTGAAACTTAAATTACTGAAGTATTAAAAGTAAAAGTATCCAAGCCTAAAACATAATTTACTTTATTTTATTCACCAATTATTTTAACAGGTTGGACAGAATAGCTGTAGTAGATTACAAGTTAAAAGGCACAGAAATCACCATTCCTAAGGGAACGACTGTTACCACTCCAGTTTATGCTATGCACAGGGATCCAGAATTTTTTCCTGATCCTGAAACCTTCGATCCAGACAGGTAAGAAACATATTTTCCCAGACTTATAGAAGTATTTTTATGTAAAAAAAATATTGATGAAGGGGAGGAAATTTTGCTCCCATTTCTTAACCCGAAAAATTTTTTACAGGAACAGATTTTTTTATGATTTAGTATTTTTTCTTAATTGAAAGGTTCATAATTTTGTAATTCATTATTATATATATTTCAATAGTTATGCAAAACTTTTTAATTTTCAGACTTTGCTGAAAAACTATTAGAAAGTGCTAAGATCAAAACTCAACATTTTTCAACTTAAAATTGTTTTATACATTGAATTCAGAAATCAAACGAAAATTCTCTTTTTATTGTGATAATAAATTTGCGTTAAAGCTCATCGGAATTTTTATTTTTAAGATACAATTTTAACTCTGTAAGATCTAGTAAGACAAAGTTTCTAACCATACATATTTTATTTGAAAAACTACACATAGTGGTGATCACAACAAATGACTGATTCAGATTCGTCTTCTTATTGGTGAAACTGTTTAAAATTTTTAAGTCCCATATATATCCCATATATCCCTGTTAATATTACTTCTAATAATTTTAAATAAAAATGGTCGTATTTTTTAAATTCCGATTTCTTAGGAACTATTCGATGGATGTTCCACAAAATAGGTATTTCACCATGAAAAATTTCTTCTGTTTTTTTTTCAAATTAATTAAAAATTGTATAAAAAAATCTCGGCCATTATAAAATAAAAAATTATAAATTTATACTGAAAGTTATTTTTTGAATGTAATTATCTTTGGATAAACGAATTTTATAATTGTATGCGAAAGTTTTTCCATTCGCTTAAAAATTCTATAGATATAGCGAAATACGCAATAAGTAAAAATAACATTAAGAAACCCAATTTTTGAACCGCTATCCTGTCCTACCTATTGGGATTATATTTCCCATATTGCGGTTACCCCCTACTATTCAGGGTTAGAAATCCACATCAGATTGAAAGAAAGGTATGTTTATTCAGAGAAAGTACTTTTTATGTCAAATTTTGTAACTTAAAATATCATCTGCCATAGCTAATTATCTTATTTGCTGTCACCTCCTCAAACCATTAATAAGATTGAGTCCTAGAACGTGAAGATACGATCATTAAATTAAAAGTTATTCTGAGTGATCTGTTTTAATTTATTTATTTATTTATTTATTTTTGCACACCGTACTTGGTATAGTACTTTCAGTTATTTTATTTTTATCCTTGCTGTCGTTGTTTAATTATTTCTTCCCTATATTAGTTTCAAATTTCTTTCTTACAGATTCAGTCCAGAAAATAAAGATAAAATTATTCCGTACTCCTATTTACCATTTGGTTCCGGACCTAGAAATTGTATTGGAATGCGATTCGCTCTTTTGGAAACCAAAATATGCCTTACCTATGTCTTAAGTACTTTCCAAGTACTAACTGGTCCAGAAACAAAGGTATTCCTTAACGTCAATTTTGTAATACAAATATAGTGTGGAATATCACCCTTCTATGGAAAGAACTCCCCTCGTCATTCATCTGGAGCAGTGGCTGTGACTATAGTTACGAGGTTTAATTATTAGAGTCCATATTTAAGACAGGTTTTGGGAGTCAGGTCGGCGGGAAAAGGGAATTAAGGAGAGAGAACCTTTCCTTATTTGAAATCCGCTATATCTTGTTTCCATAGCAGCAAGCGACCTTGGACTTCATGTCGAGGAAATTTCTTTCTATAGACAAACTATATATCCCACAAAACAACTTGTATATTTCCCACAAACTAAGAAAAACTAAAGAAAGTGAAATATGTAATTTCACTGGAACTTAAATAACGCGCATCGTGAATTGCACTTGCTATGTTTTCTAGATTATGACAACAATCAGATTAAAAAGAGAAAAAAATGGTAGACTATTTCATTATTAGTTTATTTGAGGTAAGGAGATAATGCTTGATCTTACTTTCTCAGAACTGGGACCCGAAAATTATAATGTCAAACATGCCATTGAGCAATTGCCGTTTGACATTGAGCATGTTAATGGCAGGTAAAAATTCCGATACCCTTATTTTTACTCTTATATTCTCAGCTGGGAATGAAGACATTATTAATATTATATTATTAAAAAACTGCAAAAATCTCTGAAACATTGAATTGGGTGGATATACGTTACAAAAGGAAAATAAAAGCAAAAATGGTTATATTTTTTAGAAATATAACTGCTACTGAATTTAAATTTAACTCAGTGCATGGGAGAATTTATTAAACAAAGTTTCATTACTGTTTTTTTCCTACGCTATTTTTTATTAATAAAAATTTGGCTTCAATCTGTATGCATGAAAAAATAATTAATAGAGGATAATAAAAAACATAAATAATATAGGATGCGCACTTGCCGATAAAACTTAATAATTTTGATAATTACTCTTCTTGTTTAATAATGCTTAACGTTTAACTCCATCAATCCTTATTAGTGCAAAATAACTAAAGAACAATGTAATGCAACTTCTTTGTTAATAATACTTCTGACTTACACTTAAAAAGTCCTTCTTCTCCCGGACGAACTCAATTGTCGAAGAGGTGAAGACAGGGAGGGAAAATTCTAAATATGCTTTTTATCTTTTTTATTTAATTTTCACAAATGAACTGATGATGGATATTTACTCTACTTAGCATTATCTTTTGATACATGTAAAATATAAGGCAGTCACTCAATCAGAATTTGAGATAAAAAGCGTGAGGTATTTTAGATTCTCTATTATTTCTTTTTTCTCACAAAATTATGCCAATGCAATTCTGCGATCAATAGTTTTTTAACTTTTTGTTAGTTAAGTAGACTGTTAGTTAATCAGACTTTCAGTTAGAGAATTACGAGAATGGGGCTTTAAAAGTGCCGGAAACAGGGGGTTGCAAAAGATAAAGATAGTGGAATGATTACCACACTTGGCGATTCTTCTACCGTATCGCACTTTCTTTCCCCTTGTTGGGAAATTTTAGATTGCACAGTGATTTTTACTGGTATTTTACTTTTTTAGTATCATGTGGGATGTTTGAGTTAATGATTGATTTAAACTAAAATATTATTTTATTTATTATTTACTTATTAGCATTTTAATTAAAGGAGTAAATTATTGATAGAGAGACAGTAAAAATTAGATAGTTAAAATGTTATTTTTATTATTTTTATTAACATATTATGACTCAAATATATATTCATATCCTAATATAAATAACCTTTTTATTTTGCTAGTTTTTGTTTTTTGCTTACATTAAGTAAGCACTCCTTCACTTTACTTCACTTTCTGAAAAACTAAGGTGCTTAAACTTCATCTAGAGATCCGAGCCTGATGACAAATTAAGTAATAATATCCTGATATCATTGCGATGGAATTTCGATCGATGAATGTTTGTGTCGATGGAATCTTGCATTCAAAATTTAGATCTCTTTCCGACTAGCTAGAGCACTAAAAACGGTACTAAAGCTCCTCCCCAGATTCTATAATTTTTTGCCACTACCAGTAGAACTTATTACAATATTACTGTCAAAAAGAATTTACCGTCTATCAAAATTAAGACTGGCTAGAGCACTCACATTTAAACAGGTGCTCAATGCTGAATTACTATACTATTTGCAATCATTTCAAGACCGTTACCAGCAAGATTTATCACGAAATTATTCGCCAAAAGAAACTTATCGCCTGTCAAATTTCCGACCAATTTTGGATTAACTAGAGTGTTCACGTTATGAGTACTCCACATTTGACGGCAAGGTAAGTTTCCATCTTTTCCAAAACAATCAGAATTAATCATTATACTATAGCAAAGTTAACTGATTGATGGTAAAAATTTCCTTCACTTTCTGAAAAACTAAAGCGCTTAAACTTCATCTAGAGATCTGAGCATGATGGCAAATTAAGTAATAATTAATTCCTGGTAACTTTGTCACAAGCAAAATTTATGGCCATGTTATTTCTACATTAAGTCTATAGTCAATCGAAGTTTCAACTACTGTCCGATTAACTAGAGGACCTAAATTTTAAATGGAGCTCTGAACTGGATGAAATCTCAAGTTTTAATAATTTCCTGATCACTACATGCAAATTTTAGAATCATATCACCAAAAGGGATTTGTCTTCAGTGTGAATTTCGACTTCTTTCCAACCGGTTAGTGTTCTTAAAAAAAACTAAACACAGTCAGATGAAAATGGTTGTTTCATTTATTTCTTGACCTATATAAGCATAATTTAGATCGTCTAGTAAAATTTATCGGCAATCTCAATTTCGACCGATTTCTGACTAACAAGAGTGCTTAAATTTCAGCAACAGCTCCATGTCTGATGAAATTAAGCAATCATTTTATTCAATAGTTCAAATTAAATTTATTAACAAACGAAGAATTTCTTATACATTCCGTCTTTATCTAACAGGCACAGGTAAAATAATAAAATAAAGTTAAAACCTTTAAAAACTAAGCTTTTCAAATGGATGAAAAAATGAGATAATAATTCCATTTTTGTTATACGGAAAATATGCAAAGAGCATAGTTTCAGTAATAAACTTCGATCATCACCAAAAATGTTCTCTTCGAATTTTGAAAGTGATGCTACTTACTTTTTTCTGGTTTGTTAAAAATCTAATTATTTTCGAATTTTTTCATCCCCTTGAAACATTTCATTTTATTCTGTTAAAACTAGTCATTATGTCCCAATTTCCAGTTAAATTTTGACCAACTTTTATAGAAATTCATATTTTTTTGTACTTATTGAATCCTTTAATTAAATAACTGCGTAATTAAATCCAGAAAATAAAATTTAAGTAAAAAGAAAATGAATAGTAACAAAATTTTTTTTACATAACAATAATGAAAAATATAAAAAAAATAAGTATGCACTTTGGAAAAAAGTCTAAGAACAACACTCAATAAAATTCAGAGTGATATGATTTTTTCATTAGATAATATAGAAACAACATTTTATTTTGCGAATAACAATAATGCACTATAAGAGAAATTCTAAAAATAACACTGAATAAATTGCAGAGAGGTTTAAAAGATCTTTATCTTTACTTCATGAAATATATACTTACTAAATCTAGATATTCATTATCATTATTAACTCAAGTAAGGCAACGCTCTTTTCTAATCAATAATGCATGAGTGATTTATAAAAAAACGACATATTTGTTTTCAAACATAAAAATAAATAAGCATTAAAGTCAGGTATAGTATAAATCATCACTTCATTTTTATTTTTTTAAGAAAATACAATAACCAGCAAGAGTTGATATTTCAGCAATAAAAAAATCTAAACTTTAAGAACATGACAAAACACTGATAAATAAGAACCGTAAATAAAAACAATGACGAATCGCCATAATTAGTTGTAATTGAAAAATGAATAAACAGACCCCATTTCAGAATTTTCCTTGTTGCTACGGTATGAATAGTTAATTACGTTATGTTTGACTTTTCTTTTCAAAGCCAAGAGACCAGAAACTGAGCTAAAATACAGAAGACTGTTTACATACAGATTAAGTTCTGTTAATATAAATATAACTTATCTTTAGCATGTCTGCAAAATTTTCAACTAGAAATAATTTTTAGCTAGAAAACTTAACCGTTGATCCAAAAAATTCATGATTTATTCGGCATATACACCGAAGAGCCATTACATTATGACCACTCTGGTAATAACATGTAGGACCACTTTTAGCCCTCAAAACTGCTAGCACCAGGTGTGGCATTGATTCCACAAGGTGCTGATAGGTAGTCTGAGGTATCTGGTACGAAGCGCTCATCAACTGGTCCTGCAATTCCCTCAAATTGCGAGGGGGTAGCGTGGCAGCACGAATTTAGTTTTCCAAGTAGGACCACAAATGCTCTATTGGATAAAGGTCAAGTGAATTTGGGGGCCAAGACGTGACTTGAGAATCACTGGAATGCTCCTCGAACCAATCCATGACGATTCGATCCATGGTGCATTATCCTGTAGGTAAACACCATCCCCCGCAGGAAAAACTGTTGCCATGAATGGGTGACCTATGTTCAAGTAGCTTACAGACGTCAGGGATTGTTCTATGAGGATTATGGGTCCTAATGTGCCCCATGAAAACATTGTTCCTGGGCGAGAAACCATGAAAACCTGGGCGAGCCCATTGTTATAGATAGAGGGTGGTCATAATGTAATGGCTCTTCGGTGTATATATATGTTACGGCCATAGCCCTAAGTCCGACCACTTCACGAAGTGACCACGATGTTCCGGTCAAAACACGATGTGCTCATTCAAGAATGCCCAATAGGATCTCAAAATTTGATAGAAATGGCGAGTAGAGCTCTCAGAATTTTTAAAAGCTAATTATTTCACAAAATAAATTATTTTATAACAGTATATATTTGTGCATGATCGATCCTTTAACAGTTAAGATAATTTTAGAAGCAAAGGGAAAGAATGTGTACCTGAAATTTTGAGATTCCCCCAAATAAAAATACTAAGTATTAAAAAAAAAATTTTTTTTGCATTTTAATTAATAATACGGTTAATTTTGACTTTCGACCAATCAGAAAATGTTTCCCGTTTGTTATCACTCTCTAACGATAAGTTTACTCGTTAATAGACACTTACACCACTTTTATTATAAGAATCAAGTTAAGAGCCTCGATAATGCATAAAACTAGTTATAATTTAATTTTATACACATTTTATGGGATCAATGGATCATCCAGCTTCAAATCTTGCTCAACGTCGAGCAAATTTTTTAATGAAAATAATTTTTGTTACAGACTCTAAAACAGATTAAAGAATATTTTATGTTTTGTTCTGAGTTTTTACAAGAAGTGAAAATAACTTCCGATTCTGAAATGGTTTTTACCTCATATAAAAATAACTATCGTTTCCATAACGGAAGATAATTTCTCTAAAACTAAAAAATATTTTCCGTTACAGAATTCATTTTTACCTAAAGAAAAATCATTGTTTCGCAAGAATTTTCACTTAAAATAAATGTAAAATTTGTTTCAAAAGTTATTTTACATTAAAGTTAATTATAGTTACAGAAGATTTTTCCTAAAATTAAAAATGACTATCGATACAAAAGCACTTTAACTTAAACTAAAGAGAACTTTACAAAAGTTATTTTCACATAAATATTTTAACATAAAATTTCAGTTTTATATCAAAATATATTATGATTGTTATGATCATGTGTAGATCATAACAATGTATGTAATATTAATATTATTAATATACTTTTTTTTCTATTTAGATACCCTTAGAACATCTAGCAGGAGGTCTAGGTTTTCTTCGGCCAAAGGATATTACTCTTCGATTTAAACAGAGAGATGATTGTCCTTTAAAATGATGACAGAAAAATCATACTCAACTTCATTCAGAAAAAAAAAACTTTTCCATTACTTATATGCATAAATATAAGAAGAAAGACATACGTAATATTAATGTAATATTTACATTTAAGTGATTTTATTTATTTTTTAATTCATTCTCAATATGATTTGTTAAATAAACAAATTTTGATTTAAAATCTATATATAATTTTTTGTCCTTATATTTATATCTTATTATTAGATACAAAGGGAAGGTGAAGGTAAATGCCAAAAACTTCTTATTCATACTATAAATTAACTTTGTTTGATGTTGTAATCCAACCTTGGCGTTGATACTAAAAAATGATTACTTAGATTTTAAAAATATGCTTGTTTGATTTTAATCACTTAAATATTATGTAGCTTATAATGTGTATAATTACTTTATTTTATTAGAGATTCTAAACTATTCTGAGCAATCATTACTCAACACCTTATGCATTACAGTGATAAAAGTCAAAATTTGATGAGCATATTAGAGCAGGCAACCATTCTTGAAATATTTATTTAAGACTTAATCTTATAGTCAATGCGCAATTTCATTCATAAATCTATACACTATCTAATAGGCAATGGGAAAGTTTAAAATTATTTATCCTTGTTATATTGGAACAAGTAAATAAAGAATTTACGCAGAATCGAGTGTTAGATTTAAAGAGAAATTTTATACAAGTTAAAACCTTTTTTTCTTTAAAAATATTTGCACGTATCAAATTACATTTATAACCAAAATATAAAAGAAGTTCCGATTAGTTGTTAAGGTCTATTATTTTGATATTATTTGAAGTATAATGTAAATAAAAATGAAATTTTTACAACTGCAGATATAAATTTAAATTTCAAACACAATATTAGTAGTAATCCGCATAAAATAATCTCGTTTTATCCTTTTTTAATTTTACATATTTTAAGTGAAGAAAAATTTATTATTACTATTTTAAATCAAATGCGTTTAAGAATAGTGAGATAAACACATTTAATTCAAAATAAAATTGGGACAAAATTTCGACAGCAAATATTCAATTTATTTTTAAATTAAAACAGTGTTTCTACGCTTATTTTTAATTAAAAAACACTCAAACCTCTTTAGGAAAGATATATTTTTAGTTAAGGGAGGAATTTAATTCTGAGACAAAAATGATGCATAGCAGCCATTTTAAAAAAATCAAAATTTTTATCACACTCTTTGATTGAAGTTGGAAAAAAAAATTATAAAATTACTGAAAAGTGAATTTTTTGTCGAAATACCTCTAAACACCGTCATCGTGTTCTTTTGTCAGTGTCCTCCTTGTCATCCTTATTTAGCCAGATATTCAATTATAAAATACAATTTCAAACGGATATTTTGAAAACTAATTAAAAATTGAAGAAGAATGAAATTCGAGTAATAGGATAACACTTATAGTATTACAATATCATTTATCTTTGCTACTTTGTGCTACATTTGTCCTGATGGCATCAGGCCAAATTATGAGAACTTTAGCTCCATATTTGTTTTTTAAAATCTTAAATCGACTACATTGCGGATACAATGTGCAAATGTTTAGAATCTTTCTAAAAAATTAATCCAAAAAAAAAATCGTACTAAGAGTTGAAAATTAATTTTTGAGTAAGAGAAAAGCAAAAATTTTATCAAATTAACAAAGTAATATTTTAAAAAATGTTTTTTTCGCCATAAGTATGAACACTGCAGCTAAGAAAAAGAAAATCTAAGCATGCTGTAACCCAAACAAATTTAGTAACCAGCTATACTTCTGATTCAACTACAAATTATTTCCTTAATTGATGAGACACCTCCCTGGCCAAGCCGTGTAGCAGTTGGTTGTGTAATAATAATAATGTGTTGGTTTAGTAACCACCACACAACAAACACTGTGTTGTGTGACGGTCTCTGGTTCAAATCCCAACATAGCGAGTTTGGATTCATCTCTCTAATCTGCGCTTTCTGCTCCTTAATTTCATAAGGACTTATCAGCCGAACTCTGTATTAAGAATACACTCTGCATACGTGTCCGTAACAATATATAAATTTTACGTCATTTTTTTACGTCACATTAAATATACTGTTTATTTAACTAAAGAACTTCCCTTGCCAGACGTTCTAGTCTGTAGTCGGTGACTATGGTTCCTTCTTCTGCTTATATTTGTCTACTTTCTAAAGGGTTGGGGGTAAACATTTAAGACAAATTTTAACTCGGCTTAGCGGCAAAATTATAAAAATCTCTCGTTGAAATGGGCTTTTCTTTGTTTCCATTGCAGCAGACAGCCTTAATCACTATGATGAAGGAAATTATTTTGTTATGCAAGTGGTACACTATTAGGGTATTGGCAACAACCATCCACAATGAGGATACGGTAACTATATTGGCACCCGCACGCACTACACCCAATAAGTTCCCAATTAAAGTTCAATAGCAATTTTAAGCATGCTAACCAATAAAAGAGTATTAAATGTTTTGAAAATAATCAAGGATCGAATTTTTTTTAAAAAAATCTATTATAGTTTTTAGACATAAGTCCTATGTTTGACAGTTATACTTTGCAAAGTTTCGAGCTGCATCTAGTTTAATTCTGACTTGATTTTTTTGATAATTTTATTAAAAATTTCAAGTGTTTTAGGTGTAATATTTGAACTTACTGACGTCTTCTTTCCTCCAATCATTTTTTTCCCTACTTGTCAATAATTTTAATAAGTTTGAAAAAACGCCTGCGTTGCCTGATGCATATATTAACAAATCAATTACTTTGAATAAAAAATGTAATTAAACTGAAATTTAAATTCATCTTTGTATGAAATTTCACAAAACTTTAAATAATTTTATACCAGAAAAGTTAGTTTCCTCTATTGTCGCACTGATAGGAATCAAACCAAATCAAATGATTTCATAAGTTCTCTAAGACTGTATTGTGCTACCACTGAAAGTATAGAAGTTTGGAAGTAACTCTTACGCTTTTCCTGAAAATTCTGGAATAAAAAGAAAATGGAAAACTTTTTAATCATTTTTACACATTACTGCAGATAAAAATTTAAAAGAATTCTACAAAACAATTTGTGACCTAACTCTAGCGAATAACGCAAATAGTATTGGAAGCAGCATAAGCTAGGGGAGCATGCACGTACCCCCTCGGAAAAGTTCTGTTATCCAGGTATTCAACTATTCATATCTATTTCTTTGACTGTTTAATTTAAAACAAAAAATAATTAATTCTAAGCAAAATTATGCAGTATATTTTGTCAATTCATTTTTATGAGGTTTTGAGTCAAACTAGCCTCAACTCTTGAAATCGAAATCTATTTTATTAGCAGCCAAAGGAGTAATTTGATTTAGCCAACATTTTACATTATAATTAAGCTTCGTGGAGGCGGCAACTTTTCCACATATATGCGTTTACATTTGAGATTTTTATTTTTTCCCCTTCACCCTCCTACTCAACATGTTCCAAAATATTAGTTAACACATGGGGAGGGAGGAGAAAAATGGTGGACTATACTTGAACGCACTTTATTTCCTCCTCCGTCTGTTACGTCAATATTTAAATTGAACTAGGGTGATAGTTGAGTAATAACACAAAGCGCTATGCTAGATTCGTGATCGCAAGATTCTAATATGCCATGTGATAAGAACACCGTCCCCATGCCCAGAGCCCCCACTCCATCCACCCCTCTTTTCCTCTTCTAAGATCTCTGGGAATGTACACTGCTCAAAACAATCAAAGGATATTGCATAAAATAACAGTTAAGGAAATTCTTTTTTATAAAATGGAGGTAGGTAGGTACTTTATTTACGTCGCACTAGAGCTACACAATGGGCTATGGGCGACGGTGTGGGAAACATGCATGAGGATGATCCGAAGTCATACCATCGCAGTTTGTAACATCGGCAGAGAAGATGGCTCCCCCGCTTTTGGTAGCCCGACCCGATGACCTGCACACGAGGTCGAGCACTTTATGGTAGAACAGTTTAACGAGGATCGATACCATGCTCCTTCGGTTCCAACGCAGGCTGATCAAAGTTATCACCACCCACTTACTGACCACAGTCACTGATGCTTGACTTTCGCTGTTCTACTGTCTTCACAATCAGTCAGTCCACTTCGGGACGGCTCTGGTAAGTCGTGGATACCTGAGCACGAAGACGAGCACTTAGAGTCGGTAGAACAATTTAACGAGAACCGATACAGCTCACCCTCGATCCCTACGCAGGCTGATCTGAGTGGTTATCCAACCTCTTACTGGCCGCAGCCATTCATGCTTGACTTTGGTGCTCTACTGGGAACCGAGTCTTTACGATTAGTCCACCGCAGGACATTGCATAAAATGGAAGAAGAGAGTCACAAATGCTAATTTTTCCTATTTTCAAACTTCGCAATATGCAAATTTTGAGTCTGACGACGAAGACGACACTTCAGTGGCAGCGAATTAGATTTGACTTTCAACTTAATGCAAGATAATGGGGGAAAGAATGATCGACAAACTACACTGGTTATCATAAATTAAGGAAAATTCACAAAAATCGCGATAACTCAAGAAATTACACATGGAATTTTATGAAACTTACCCACAATATACAACACATAGTAAGGTATTAAACAACATAAAAAGAAATTATCAGACATTAATAGTAGTATAGAAATTAGCACATGTATAAAATAAACAAATTGGAAGTATCGGTTTGCAATAGAAAAAGTACCTTTAATATGGAATATGATTGCCTCTAGAAGCAATACAGCACAAACAGCGATGTGTGATGCTTTCAATTATGCGGTCTATCAGTTCAATAGGAAGTGAGAGCCATTGCTCTTGTAAAGCAGTTGCAAGCGTGGCAAGGGTCTGAGGGGGCGGATTGATGGCAGATACACGCCTCCCTAGAGCATCCCAAACGTGCTCGATAGGATTCAAGTCCGGGGATCGAGCTGGCCACTCCATGCGAGTAATTGTTTCCTGTTGAAGATAATCATCAACAATGCGAGCTCTGTGTGGTCTTGCATTATCGTCCTGTAACAGGAAGCAATCACCAATTGCCCCGGCATATGGGCGCACATAAGCATCAAGGATGTTGTCTCGATAAACCTGAGCATTCACGGTTCCCCTTGGAAAGACATGGAGGTATGTGCGCCCTCCTAAGGATATGCCTCCCCAAACACAGACACTGCCTCTTCCGTATGCATCTCTTTCACGGATGTTTGATGGATGATAACGGGTCCCAGGTTCTCTCCATATCAAATAACGTCTACTGTCACTTTCTAGACTAAACCTGGACTCATCCGTAAAGAGAACAGGCCTCCATTGATCTGACGTCCAGTGGACATGTTGTCGGGCCCACTGCAAACGGTCTCTCCTATGGCGTGATGTGAGCGGCACGCAAATGGCTGGTCGTCTCGCATACAGACCACCTTCGTGGAGCCTTCTGCGCACAGTTGACGTTGACACCAACCTTCCGGTGGCTGCAGCAAGAGAGGATCTAAGATGTGTCGGAGTAGCGGTTCTATTCCTGCGTGCACTTAATGTCAAATATCGGTCATCGGCACTGGTCGTAACAGTTGGCCGTCCTTGACTGAACCTCCTAGATGCCGAATCTGTGGTTTGAAATTGCCTCCAAAGTCTATGAACCACAGATGGACTCACATTTAGCCATCTGGCCACTTCTGATTGACTCTGCCCTGCCTCTAGTCTCCCGATGGCTCTCCATCGTAGTTCTTCAGGCAAATGATGCCTAGAGGTCATTATTACGAATTGGCTATCTCAGATTTTCAATGTCGCAATCACAGTAAAATTTGTGTGCTTTCTCTCAAACTTGGACTTTTATGCTCCAGGCAGATGACGTAAGCCGAGTGCAGCGCCACTAATTTGCATATTGCAATTTTACTCAGCTACTCTTAGTGGACAACATATGCAAATTTTGCACGGTTTGGCTTACTTTTGAAAGAGTTATCGCTATTTTTGTGATTTTTCCTTAATTTATGATAACCAGTGTATAAGCGCGCTCTTCCGATGAGTGCGATGTCTCAACATTATTAACATCTATCAAGTCATTTAACCGCATCAGAAGCTTGGAGAGTTGTTGGCCAGTTAGAGGGAATCCAACACAAGACGAAGTAGCACAAGCCATTGTAGTTTCCTAAAGTGCGATTTCCAGGTTCTGGAACCGTTTTGTGGAGACGTGGAAAGCAGGCTGAAGATCAGAACAAAGGTATAGACGTGCAACAATGCCCAATGAGGACCGTTATTTAACGTTAACGGCTCGGAAACACAGAAATATGAATGCCACTCTTCTTCAACAACACCTTCGCTCGGCTACTATGGCACTAGAGTTTCCGCCCAAACTGTCCGAAACCACCTGAACGCTGTAGGTCAGTATGCTCGTCGGCAAAGGTGTTTGTCACGTCAACATCAACATCACGCCAGCAGAGAGTGGTCAACAAAGCTGGAGAGGAAATGAATGGCACAATGTTCTTTTATCTGACGAGTCCCGTTTTTCCGTTCATCCTGATAATAGGCATATTTTCATCTGGAGAGAACGGGGCACTAGAAGCAGTCCTGCGTTCGTACACAAAAGAGTAAGATTTGGCGGTGAGGGAGTGATGGTCTATGCTAGCATCTCCATTGATGGGAGAATGGGAGCACCGATCTCCATAACATTCTTAATAGAGCTCTAACCAGTCGTCAATATAGGGATGAGATCCTGAGACCTATACACTGCAGCAATTTGATATGACTTCATGTTAATGGGTGACAATTGCCACCCACATCGTTCTAAGTTGGTAAATGATCTCCTTTTGGATGAAGGAACTATACAAAAAGATTAGCCAACGTACTTTTCGGACATGAACCAAATCGAGCATGTTTGGGACGTTCTAGTAAATGAATTGCTGCACGACTAACACCCCCAAAAACTCTCCAAGAGCTGGAAAGAGCTCTTCTAAAAGAATGTTACGGAATGAGACTGAATACCCCAGTCCCTCATTAATAACCTCATCGACTCGATGCCTGAAGGGTTTCCGGGAGAAACCACACACCCTACTAAAAACGATTTTCTTTTAGGGAACCACCTTTTTTATTTGTTTCTCTCAAATGCAATTTTTTTGTACCCAAATGCTCAGTGAAACGCATTTTATGTTCGCCAAACAAATGTTATTTTTATCAGCCTCTATGTCTATCGTTAATGTATCAATTGTAGGGATTTATAAATCGACTATGTCAGCCTTCATCTATCAAAAGGTACCTCGAGATATTGGTATTTAATTGAATTGGTATTTAATATTTTTATATTATATTGGTATTAGTTACGCCACATTACTCCCCTTCCAGAATTTTATCTGGGATAGAATTCGATTAACGGATACCACTAGCTGATTTTTGCTGTTTATTTATTTATATCAATTTTGCTCATTGCTTTTTTTTTTTTTCATTTTCTTTTTATAGCATTTTTGCTCATTTTTTATAGCATTTCGCTCATTTTTTTATTTTTTTTATTGACCGGGAGACTTTATTTACATCACCGGATTTTTTTTTCTTTGAGCAGTATATTTTTAAGCAAATCAACTGTTTAATGTGGATCATCCATCAATTTTGGCATGTTCTTATCACGTCCACAGGTCACCAATTTGTTGGTGACCTGTGCTTTGTGCCAACTAAATTAAATGAATGCCAAGTATGATACTACAAAAAATTTTATCAAAAAAAATAACATATTTCATTTCTTAAACACTTTAGAACACAACAACATTTTTTTATATATCTAACTCCGTTGCCGAAAAGAATTCAAAACTAAAACTTATAATTTTCGAATTTAGAATGTCAAAATTATTTTTTTAAATTTCCGTGATGCTTTAAGTTTTATGTTGAATGAAAGCAATTTTGAGTCTCAAATGGTTTCCAATTTTTCAAATATTAATGTTACGTTGGTGTTAAAAGAATGCAAACTGTTAGTGTTGCCATAGAAAAAGAATTCTGCTATGCAGCCTGTTTGATTTCAATATCACGTGATATTTGACGAACTTTAAAAATTTTCTATTTTTGATGAGTTATTTCTTAAATCATTGCAAGCTACAATCTGAACATTTTCATGGCAGCATATCAAAAATCTCCTCAATATCAATAGAAATCAAATTAAATTTTGTTTTCAAAGAGATTCTCATAGAGAGTCTCTGATTATTTTACTCGTGTGTCTATTCTTAATTAGAACAACTATTTGAATACGCTCGGGAATTTTCGTATCTTAATTTTATGATAAGTTTACAAAATCAATTAAGAGAATATATATATCAAACAATATTTTATTATTTGATACTATGTCCTCAAAAAATTTAACTGGCAATAAACGTATCATTCGGGACAGTTGCATTGATTTGCATACAAATGTGCAGTTGTGGCGTAGAATTACTATTAACATGCATTCCACAATTTTAGCGATATCCCAAATTAGACAGAAACAATTTTAAGTATTTTTTTTTATATTGATAAGCACTTTACTGCTTACTTTTACTTTTAACTGCACACTTTACTTTTACCAATTTAAGTCAAATGTTTCAAATTCGTGCTTGAAATCACGATTTTAAATCCTATTTATTTATTTTTTATTGAAAGTCATAATTTAAATCCCATAATTATAATTTAAATCACCTATCATCCCTAATCATAATTTTAACCCCCCTCTTCTCAGTTTAAATGAAAAATGTCATTTTTCAGACCTTCATTGAATACCAAACAAAAAATCCATAAGAAATTTTCAAGCTTTGTCATCAGTGTATCAGCTGGTTATTTGTTTGACCCTAGTCGATTTCATTTATGTTACATTTTACTCACATAAATAAAATAATGATATAGGAAAATACATAATAATGCAAAAAAATAATACACAATACACAGCATTTTAGTTTTGTAATCAAATGTATAGATAGTTACGTATCATTATAGGTAGTTTATATATTTATATTTTTCATTTGTTTATTTCCTTTCAAGGAATATATATACATACACACAAATAGATTTTTTTTAAAATTATTTTAGCTGAAAAGAAGACATAGCGAACTTAAATTAGAAACTGAATAGCATTTATAGTTAATTACAAAACAGATTAGAAGCAGACTAATTATCAAAACTAAATTTTTAAATGACGCAAACAATCAATTATTTGAAATTAAATTATTTTAAGACAAAATATTTTTTAATGTATGTTCTCTCTCTGCATGAATAAAATTTTTGATATTTCTGAATCATACATATGTTTCACAAATATATGTATGATTCCTTATCCTAGTTAGTAAATATTTGTGTATAAAAGTTACAATATATAAGTTACATTATAGTTGTATAAAAGTTTAAAATAAATTGTTTTCTAAAAGAATTGATTAAACTAACAACCCTTTTTGAATTATTATAGGTCTGGAGAAGAGTTACACCCAGAAGATAAACTAAAAGTGAATACATTTGAGGAATTGTCGCTAATGTCAAATCAGTTGGAAGAAAATCTAAAAAATCTGGTAAGTTTTATTTTAAAAACAAGTATTGTGATATACTAACTATATTGTTTTAATTTATAATATTGTTTTAAGTACAAAGTGAGACGTTTGCATTAAATTATGTTATAGCGCTTTTTAAAGCTCTTTCGCGAAGGAAATTTTAAAAATTCCACGATTAAAAAGCATTACACTTAAGCAAAGCTATACTTTTGAACTACATGTATTGCCTGAATTATCCCAACTTAAGAATGTGCAAATAACTTAAATTTTTTAGAAGTTATTAAACTTTTTTTTAAAACAGCCAAAACATAAATATAACTGCGTTATTAAGTTTTTGTTCGCTCTTTAAACTAACCTATTATTCTTCCAGTTTTCAAAATTATTTAGAGCATGAAATTTAACTTCAAAGCCAGGAAAGTTAAAATGTACTTTTATTTTTTTGATTTCAAATCTTAGCTACTAATGCACGTATTTTAGGTAAAGAAAACCGAGGTGGTAAAATTACAAAGCCAAAAAGGAAATTTGTCTGCTTTTATAATTTGCAACGTTTAATGTTGTAGTATTTTTTTATTTATTATTATTTAAATTTAGTTTATTAGATAAACCCTTAAAATCAACATTTGTAAAAGTCTAATTTAGTAAATGAAAATAGCATAAACAATGAATAATTATAATTAAATCAGAAACTTTTCTGTTTTTTTTTTTTTTTTTTTATGACAAAGTATTNGATATCATGATCTCAACTTTTAATGAAAGAACTGATTGTCAGATTAAAAATAGTTTTTTTTTTTTTTTTTAGAAGTATAAATTAAACATTTGAATAAAATATATATTTCTGTTTTCAATTTAGGAATCCATTGTCAGCAAAATGGAAAAAAATATGCAAAAGCTAAACGCTCTATCTACACTTTCAAAATCACAACTCTCTGAGAGTTCTTTTGATTCTGATGAAATTCCGTTCCAGTCATGGCCTTTGTCAAAGTTTTGTAAGTTATTTGAATTTTCTTGAATTGAACAATCAAAGTTTTGAGTTACTTTTTTTTTTTAGTATTATTTTACATTGAACATTTTATTCCAATTATATTTGATTTTCATTTTATTTTTAAAAATTCTTAAAGGAATTTATTGCTGTTTAAATAAAAACGTGATGGTATCGCTACAAAATTCTTTCCTAAAATTTAGTCATAATTTAGTAAAATTTGAAAAAGTAGATTGAATTTGCTTTGAATGTCATTTTCTCTTGTCTACTTTGATGTTTAACCATGTAAGCATCTCTATTCCTGTTGCAGATAAATTTTAAAGATTTTGCCAATTTACTTGCAAAAATTCTCAGATAAATTTTCCCACCTATGATCATCCCTACCTAAGTGAATATTAGTTTTTTAAACATTTTTCTCATCGAAATTTTTAAAAGGCCTGATAATATTCTGCATATAAAGAAACAAACTGAACTAAAACATATAAAGCTTCTGAACATATAAAGAGTAAAATCCAATTACCAACAAAATCTTTGTTTTTACTTTTTTTTATACATAAAATTCATTTTCTAACCCCCATCTTATTAAAAATTCTTTTCTTTTTTCATTATTTAACAATGCACTGGTGTTTAACACTTATAATTAACTCAATACTTTGATGCAAGCATTTAGGAGTTAATTTTTCTTGTACAAATATCTTTAAAAATGCCTATCTGGAACAAATAATAAAAAAATATTAAAATTTAGCTAACTACAAAATTGAAAAACATTTTGGATGAAATTTACATATTACAAGTATTATGCATATTCAACACTTTTTTTTTTAATATAGATTTTAATACAAAAATTTATCCCAGTTATCTTATCTAAACTAGTTTAGTTATGATAAGAAGTAAAAGAAATTTAAATATAATATCCATTAGAAGTTAAGATGTTATTTATATCCATATGAAGTTAAGATAACATAAGAAGTTTCTTATCTTGTTTTAATAATGAAAATGCTGTATACTGGTTCAAAAAAAAAAAAAAAAAAAAAAAAAAAAAAAAAAAAAAAAAAAAAAAAAAAAAAAAAAAAAAACACTTATTTTTATTGTTTTGTTTCTATTCTTCAAAAGTATTTTTGTCATATTCAATAAAATAGAAAAATGGTATGTTTGCAATGCTGATTGACACCTAAGGAGTTTGGATTGTTGCAGTTAGCTCACCTTTTTTGCATTTAAAATTATAAAAGATATATGTGCATGTTCAGGCATCCTTTAAGAAAGATTTCTTTTGAATATCTTCTGCTATCTCATATCTCAAAAATGCTAAATTCAAGCAACAATTAGCGAACAAACTTTTTAAACAACTTGTAACTAAAACATAGTGCATAGCGTTCTTAAAAAGTGCTTAAAGGTGCTTATTTTTTATTTTTGTTACCTAAAAGCCTTTAAAGGTGCTTTTTTCATTGGGTGTTTTTAAAAAGTGCTTAATTTTCCCTTTTCAAAAATGAGATTTTTTTTCATTACCATGTCGATTTTCCTCACATATTATGCAGAAGCGTGCTTTTCACATTGTTGTATTCAACGTTTTCACAATTCATTCAACCACAATCAATTTCTGCATACCGTCGGTCCATAGAGTATGAAAGCGCCAATCATTTTACATGTTTGATGAAATGCTTGCATGTTCCCATGTGCGTCTACTGAGCTGGGTTCAGTGAGATTATTGCCTTCTCATGTGCAAATCTGTAGCATTTTGCAAGATATTCTCAATTTCAGACTTCATTTTCTGCACTCTAATATCAAACCAAAAAATCTCTTGATCATTTTATAACGGATAAGAAAATAATATAAGAATATAACAGTCAAGAAAAGAGTTTCTTGTCAGAAATTAGTTATTTTCTCATGATCATCTAAAGTCTTTGTAAATTATTTTGCAATTTGTTAATGTATGTAGTGCTTAAAAATATTTTTTGAGTGCTTATTTTTTGTTAAAAGATTTGGCTATGCACCCTGGAAAAAAAAAAAATTTCTTTATAATGATTTTTTTTTTTAGGTTCCATGTCTGAAGAAATAGAAGGAATGTATAAAGAAGAATTGAAAACAAAGATGAATATATGTAGAGAACTATGCATAGTGCAAGATCGATCAACATTATGCTTTTTTGAAACCTGTTGGAAATATGAACCAAACATTGACAATCGTAAACTTAACAGTTTGCTAACTCAAGTCATATTTGAATTGGAATTACAAACACAACTGTAGGTCATGATTTATTTTGCATTCATCTCCTGTGATAAATATGTAATTAAGTAATAAATTTAAATATTTTTATTATTATAAGAGTTTTATTTAAAATCAATGATATTAGAAAGTAAAATTTGGCTTTTTTTTCCCCTCTCTTTATTAGCTCAATTACGTTTACTTTTTTCATATCTTTCAAAATTTTTCTCAAAAAGAGTAGTCAGTCATTTTATTATTTTAATATCACTGATTATTATCTTTCATTTAAAATAGTGTTTTAAAAATAAAAAAGAAAAGAATAATTTGCTGTTGAGTGATTTGAAATGTGTTCAACGAAAGGCAAATCAGCTCTATGCAATCTTTTAAAAAATAGTAACTAACTACTCACAATCATAAAATGAACTAACTCAAGTATTGCAATTACAAATGTCATATTTAATTTCTGTGATAGAAACGAGTATTCAATGATAAATGGTCGGTGATAATTTATGTAATTTTAATGTGTTAATTAAATAATATTTTTAAAAAGTTACTTTTATTAAACACAAATCTGAAATGAAATATTTTATTTTTCGATTGTTGAATTCTGGACTTAATTCATCGAACTTGATTATAATAACTTTTGTGTTTATTAGAATAAATTTGTAAAGACTAATATAAACTTTAAAAAAATATTTAATTAAATTAACATGGTGTAACGATGAATTCAAATTTTTACTTCTATAACACGTTTTTATCTTCAAATTCGGGTTTTTTTTTTATTGAAAGTTTTAATATAAAATTAAATATTCTTTAGATTTAGTTATAAGACAAAAAAAAAAAAGATAAAGGAAAGGAAAAGACATTTGAAAAACTTAGATAAATTTTCTTATCATATTTAGATTAAACTTTTTTTAAATATTTGAATTGTTTCCATTCAATGGTTTTGTTTCAATTTCAATGAAAAAAAATTTAATTTTTTTATTCCTTTTAAAAGTTGAATTTGCCTCTATTATCATTTGAAATGTATAACAGCTTTAAAATTAAATTTTATTCAATTTACCAATCGTTTAGCATAACACCACAGCATGTATTGCAGCTGATAAATATTTTTTTTCTACTACTTGCAATAGTTTATACTGTTACAGCTCTTGATTTTGACAGATATTCGGGAAATCTGTGGAATTTCATTTTTTTTCCTTATTTCCATCATAACACATAATGAACAATTCAAGAACATAATATGTTGAACTGAGGACCATCTAAAAAGTGATTGAAATATCCCTAGCAGCAAAAAAACTTGGGCCCTCATTGTACCAATATTCACCAATCTCAGAGTTTAAAGGGAGTATTTTCCAAGATTGGACCAACATAGAATTGTTTGATTCACCCAATATTTTACAGCTGCTTTGCAACCAATATTGGCCCAATATGAAATTGTCAGATTCACCCGATATTTATATTCATTATTCAGCCAATATTGGCCCTATATTAAAAAATCTAGACATCCCAATATAATATAACCCTTGGTGCATGTTCATGTAGGACCCATACTGAACCAATTTTGAACCCAACTAAGACCAAGGTAAAATTGTTGCTAGGGATCTAATCTATTCAAACAAATTTGTTGTCACAGAATTTTTAGGTTTCTTGAGTGACAATATAAAGAAAATAAAAATTTGATTAAATCAATTTTCCTCTGATGAACTTAAGGTAGAATTGATGACATATACTTGTTTATTATTCTTAGACATTGAAGTCAAATCTTGTATGATGCAGATAAATTGTTCCTAAAATTCGAATTATCTTTGTACTGTGTAATTATTATTTGATTAACAATACTTTTATTTTGATTAACAATTCATTAATCATTTTTAAAATAGTGATTTGAGGGGTCATTCACAAATATTCTTTTTTATGTTTAGTTACATTTGAAGTTAGTGATACACTTAAATTAAAAATATTAAGTTCGAATTTTTTTAATTTAATTATATATTTTATTTAATATAATAATTCTTTAAAATTATAGTATATAATTAAATCATATTTCTAATTTTATGTTTGGGATAGGCGGAAGAATAAATTGTCTTTCTGCCCATTGTTGAACTGAGGCATAAAAGAATTAAAATCTATATTTATTGATAATAATAAACAACTCGTAGTTAACTGAAAGTAAATGGTTATAATATAGCAAATAATATTGATCTTAAGGTATTACGAATACCATATGTTTAGATAACCAATTAATAGTTTCAATAATTTTGGCTATATTTTTTATAAGATAAATCATAATTATAGTATATAATGCAAGTATTGTGCCTGAGTTAATATCTTATAAAATGTCCCTAGTGACAAAAAAGAAACTTGCCCTAGATTTTTGTCAGATTTCGACAGTTTTCAACACTTTTTGACACGTCAAACACTAGTTTTTTACATCAAAAACCCAAATTTGAATATTGGTTATTATTTTTATATTTTACTAGCCGCCTTCTGCAACCAGTTGACTTCTATGTTTGAGAAAAGTTTATAGAGTAATGCTGACTATATTATAAGTCAGGTATAGCCAGGGTGCGTAGCGTTTGTAAAAAGTACTTAAAGGTGCTTTTTTGTGGATTTCGTTTTTAAAAGCTTTTAAAGGTGCTTTTTTCAGCTGGCGTTTTTAAAAAGTGCTTTTTTTTTCGAAATTTTTTTTCCCCTTCAGTGATATCTGGTGGATCCCATGCATTTCACAAAAAATGGGGAGTTTGCTACGTAATCATTTACGCGGACTTCATGTGGTACCCACGTTATGACTTGCGCATGCGCGCACACTTGAAACCGAAAACCGAGTGCTCCAATTCGGATAGAGAGTATCAGATCCTTAAGAAATGTTTTTCTTTTTAATTTATTTTAATTTTTTTCTTGTTTATTTTATTTTACTTCTAACACTTTTTTTGACGTAGGGGGTAAGGGTACTTTTGCTCTGAGTTCAGGGTCAAGTTGAATTCACTCGGTGATGTGGGAAAGTACTGATTGTTTCGATTTACGCCCGTTTCTTTTTGGGTTTTTTTTTAACGCTAAAACTGTTTATAAAAAGTTTTTGTTTTTCAATAATATCATTGATTGAATATGAATTTTTTGAGTGCTTGAAAAGTTTTGTAAAGTGCTTGAAAAGTTTTTAAAAAGTGCTTATTTTTGATTCAAAGATTTGGCTACGCACCCTGATAGCCATATGTGCAGTTTCTAGAACCTGACAATCTATTAAAAATTATTTCAAATACAGGTTTTAAAATAGGTCTTTAAGGTGCCAATTGTGGATAGCCAATTTCTTGTTAATTTTTGTAGCTGTTTTTTATCATTTGCAGGCAGATTTTATCTTTCATGTAATATCTCCGTGTAAAATAAATGCTCCAAGTTTCCAGACCAATTAAATCTTAAAATCATACACCCATTATAAATTATTCACATAGCAGTTTCCGTATTTTATAGTAATGTTCTGATTTTTTTTTTTTTTTTTTTAAGTTTAATAAAAAAAATTACTTATGGTAACAAAACAAACAGTTCTTACATAAAAACAAATAAATTGGGTCCGAAGACGTTAATCATACTGAAAATAATTAGCTTTTAACAACAAAGAAATGACTATCTGATTTGAGAAGTGCTGCTTTATTTTAAATATTTAAAACTACAATTGAAGTTTTAATCTTCAATTTGAAATTCTTTTATATACAGCTGTAATAAATTCATTAATAAAATATGCAATAGAATAGTTTTATTGTTTTAGAAATTGAAAGCAATCATGGACATCAAACAGCTTGAGAATTTAATAATTTTATGTACACTATAAATACAACTGGCTCTAACAATAAACTTGAATCTGTATAACTCATATAAGCATGTTTCAAAAAAATAAGACTGGTACTTTAAACTGTAATGGCACAGCAAAAATGCAAATAGAAAAAACACTAAAACCCTTTCAATTGAATTATTGTTCATTCTGTTTGTAACATAAATGGGCTATAAATTGCTTAAAACTAAACTTTAAGCTAACCAAAATTCATTATGCCGTAACATAAATGTTATTTTTATTTAAACAAAAGCAAAGCTTATATAATTATGCATATTTTTTTATGAAAACAAATAACTTTTTTTTAACAAATTGCAATAAATTACTAAATTGCACCATACCTCATAACAGAAAACAAGTTTGTAATGAATCTTAGTGAAATGTGGTCTATAAGTGTAACGAATAAATTGAACAATCCAAAACAAATTTAGGAATGTATGTAATAATATTGAAAATTTAAGTGCCTAAAAATGTACTAGTTTCATAGAAAAGTGTTATTAAAAGGGAAAAAAACAGGAAAATTATACAAACTTAAAAATATTTGGAAATATATTTAAGTTTGTATAATATTGATACCTACTCACAAAAATTATTAGAAAGAAAAAAAATTTCTACAATCACATGGGAAAAAAATATTTAAAAACTCGAAAAAAGAAATTCCCTATAGCAAGTATTAAAAATTCAACTGATTACTGAAGTTCTATCAGAGAACTAACTGGGTTTAGTTCTCTGATAGAACTAAACCCAGACACACATTTTTTATAACTTATGACTGAACAAAAATTAACATTACAAAACATTAGGAAAAAGACATACAATGACATTTTGTAGATTTGAAAAAAAAATTGTATGAACTATTTTTATAAAAAGAAATAATTTGTTTTGTCAACTGTAGCTAATCAGTAATGGTAGGCTGTTAACTTTAATATTTACAAAACATACTTAGACCAAAAAGAAACCTAGTTTGCAAAGGTTTAAAATATGACCTGCTACCATTAAAAAAGTGCCTCAATTTTTTCTATCATTATAAATAACCATATAAACAGAAAAAATAATACAATAACCTTTTCTTTCTTATGTTAGTTTAACATAGTATAAAGTAGATTTTAAACACTAAAAAACTCAATTAATAGGCTACTTGTTGAAAAATTAAGTATTTATACTTATTTTATAGTCATTAGTTATAAAATTGATGTTAGCCAAAATTTTATGAAGCTGAGAAATTAGCATTTCTTAGTTCCCAATGCCAACTAATTTATAATATTAGTTTATAATTTTATACTCTTCTGAAAAGAATTAGCCCTAAGTGGCTACTAAGAAAAGTTAATTAAAAAAATAGATAACGAAGAAGTCTCTGAATTAATATTTTGATTGATTGTGATATTGATTATATGTAAACAAACAGTGTCAACAATAAAATTTGAAGGATTTAATAGAAAACTGAAAAACTTCTTTGCTTTCAAAGACAATTTGGTTAATACTTTAAGTACTGGTGATAAGTCAAACGAAAATCAATATAAAAATTAAACATCTGCAAAAAAATAATAATTGTATAACCTTCAAAAAATTAAAATTTCACGTCAGAAATAGATTTTATAAAAAATCCTCAACTTGATGCCTTAGTTGTTTGTATATTGATTTTGTATACATTATTTTAAAAAAAAACTTACACTCAAAATTTAGAGGTTTTAATTAGTGGTCAAGAAAATAGTGGTTTTATGTAAAATCAGTTTTTTTAAATTTCTCATTAAATACTTTATGTCTTTAGTTTGTTTTGATTGCAACTTTGATTTTGTGTATAATTTTTAAAAAATTACAATTCATAGATTTTTTTATTAGAAAAAGAAAAATAAGCATTTAAGATAATTTTTGCTCATATAGTATACTAATTTTATTTAATATTTTAAATACTTGTGTAAGAAAATTAATTGTATATAAAATTTTCAATTTAATTGCATAATTTAATATAATCTTGATTTTGTATATATTTTTTTAAAAAAACCTTCATCCAAAAATCAGAGGCTTTATTTATAAGTCAAGAAATCAGTGCTTTTATGTTTAAAAAAAAATATATTTATAATACAATTAAAAATAGATAAGGAGTAAACAATGTTAAATCAATAATAATTTAAATATGCACAAAAAATAATTTTTGCTTAGAATAAATTAACAGGTGCTTTTTTAACCCAATAATTAAATCTCATTTAAAGTAAATAAATGCATTAAAAGTTAAATGTATTAAGAATGTAATTAAATGGATTAAAAATACTGTTTAAATTTTGAATAAATATGAATAAAATGTAAGATTTCTATTTATTTAAGAAAGTAATATTTAAGGAAAAAAAATTTCGTTAACTATAATAGACTAAATACAAACAATTATCAAAAAATTCAAAAAGTAGCATATTAAAAAAAAATAGTGTTTCATAAATAAGAATGTGTCCTATATGTAGCACAATATGTCTGTAAAGCTCATTTTCAATTTATATATTAATAAAAATAAATAATTTTTAAAAGAAAAACTATACATTAAAAATACTATTTCAATTTTCAACACACATAAATCGAACAAAACTAAAAAATGCAAAATTTTTATAAATAAGGCTACCCTTACACAAATTAGAACTAATTTTAAAACATTTTAATACATCTTTATATTACAGTAGCAACTAATAAATAATTTGTAGGTCATTTTTGCCACATCAATGCCCATTAACAATAAATACAAAAACTTGTTTTTTTTCTTTCCAATCCATGGTACATGGGGAACATAGTTTTTCCTCCCCTCCGGATGACGTTACTGTTGAATGATAAACACATGAAAAATAAACTGATAGCGAGTCTTGCTTTTTGGTTAGAGTTCAGCAGTTCCCCTTAACCAGGCATAATCGTCGTCTGAATCTGTATCAGCAGAAGATTCATTTCGAACAGACATTGTATCTAATCTTCGAGACTTGGTTGGGGGTGAAGCAGACCTGGCTCGACGTCTCATCGGACTACCTGGTGGAGTACTCGCTGGTGATAGAGCCTGCCTTAGTCTCCCTTTACTTTCTTTCCAAAAGGTATTCTAAATTATTTAAAAAGGAAAAAAATATGTAAATTAGATTGTTTCTTTTTTAAATAACTATTTTACAGTTGATTAATGTTACAGAATAAAAACATTTACACTCATTGCATTAAGTTTAAAGTATGCCTTCAAATCTAGTAAAATATGCAGACTATATTAGCAGTTTATAACCCAAAATATTTTTAATATGCCTAATTGACAAAAAGAAAGACAAAAAAATCTTTAAAGGCCACATTAACTTCCCTTAGTCTCAAGAGCCAGGGTCTAGTTCACACTAAAACCAAAATTATCATAATTTGGGAAGAAAAGGGTCAGCTTTAGAAACTTAAGATAAAGTGCTTATTTCGAATTTATTATTATTTGAATACACTTCAAGTATTTTTCTAGGACATTTTTTGATCATGTTGTCTTTTTTCTGGGAAGGCATTTTGAGTATGTTACGTCATTTGTGACAATAATTTGGATAATCATATTGTATTTTAAAATGTGAACTATTTTTTGTTTCGTAAACAACCAGAAAGAAAGGTTATAAAGAATAGTAATAATTAATTTCGCATCATTAATTACAATTAAAATATTAAATTTCATTATATATATGGCACATTATATTATTTCATTTCTTTTTTAATTAAGATTTACAAGCTGTAAATTTTGATATAGAGCCCAACTTCACATTACTGAACCTGGGATACAGTGAATACTGGGTTGTACTGAGCTTTATTAGTTGTCCCATCAGAACTCCCATTTAACTATAATGTTATTTCATACGCTTTTAGTGAACAGCTGAAAAATTGGTTGTTTGTTTAGATAAAAATCTTTGAAATTTCATTTCCATAGATTTTTTTTATTTTTTAGCTTGCAGGAGTTGGAATAATAAATGGCATCATTCTTTTAAGTCAAATGTCACTCTTTTATGCACATTACTTTTAACTACGGCAAACAGGTTGTTAAACAGCACATTCTTCTCTATCCCCCATACCTTGAATGCAAGAACAAACCTCTCTTTTTCCCTTTCCCCAATTTTAAAAAATTTTTGGCTACTGCTCGTTAACCTGATCTCCAGTTTAATTAATAAAATCTATCTCTGCAAGCCACTATTCTTTACAAATAACTTCTTGAAAATCAAGAAGGGGTGCAGTCAAAAGGTTTAAAATTTGTTTTACAGCTCAGAGATTTTTTTCCCCTCTTTTTTTTTTTAAAAAAAAAAACAGTAAAAATGGCTCATTCAATAAAAATAACAATTCAATTGAGTATAAGGTTAAACCTATCAAACAAATTAAAGATAGAATAAATCAATCGTCATTGTGTAAAGCCTCATTCTTTTGCATCCTAAGTTAAACAATAGAACTATGCTGAAGAAGATTTAGAAGAAAATGTTGAGAAAAAATATGAAATTTTGACACAATACCAGAAGTCAAATCTGCAGCAAAAAGGAAAGGTCCATAAGGAAAAAAATTAAATTTTTCCTTTTTTTTTTCCTTGTTATTTCATTCTTACACCAAATATTCAATATTTTGCAGAGAAAAAATGATTTGTTAATATCAAAACATGACTTGCAAAAGATAAAATTAAAATATTTTGTTATAAAGATGGTAGTGGGGACAAAATTTAGGCAACATCAATCATCTTAACAATATTAAAAATAAAAAAAAATTCTTTATATTTGTACTAGTATTTGACTTTTAATAGCAAGTAAGCAATTATATAGAGAACTAGTTTTGCTAGTTCTCTTAGATGAAATTGAAAAAAATAATAATTCAAACAAAGCATCCTTCCTTAAGGAGGTAGAATTTTATTTATTATGATTTATATAAGCCTAAATTTCTATACTTAATTATTAATATATAATTTATAACATTTGTCATAGCAAGGGGAGATATAAGGTATAAAAACTTTGATTTTAAATAATATTAGTTATTTTAATATCTAAAGGGTGTTTTAAGCTACAATAGCAAAGTTATATTAGAACTGGGGATGTAATGAATTTGGGGGAAATTTAAATAGATTTAATAAAGAATAATCTAAAATCATATTTCTAACTATATGTTATAAGAAATAGTTTTTGCACATATTTGTTTAGTTATGCTCTGAAAGATGCATAGAAAAGCAAAATTTGTAAAATTGAAACTAGATTATTTTATACTGAACCATAAGTTCTTCTAATGCTGATTTTTTTTTTACTTATATTCAGGGAAGTCAATTTAATCGTTTTTTAATGCTTTACCTTTTAAATATTGAGATTTTTTTTTGTTTTGCTTCATTCATCTTTGTTTTTCTGTTTTAACAAAAATGATGCTCTCTTCTAATGTTAACAGAACGTTTCTAATAGACTTCATTCTTTTATTGTCACTTTTTTCTTGTACTGTAAAACAGATAACTAATAATATAAAATACTGTGATTCTCAATGTTAAAGTTATATTTCAGAACTAAGAACAATTTTTTACTGTTTCTCTTTTGATTTTTTTATTAGCTTTTCTTTTCATCAGTGTTTTTATTGTGACAGCATTTTTTAAAGAGCGTTTCTAATGAAAGCTATTCTTTTATGATCCCATTTTTTTTAAAATATGACAATATGAAAAGGGTCAAGATTAAGTTAAGATTTTTAGCGTTAAATTTATAGTTTAAAAATTAAGAACGTTTTTTGTTTCGATTTCTGTCCAGCTTCTTTTCTAAAAAACTTATGTTTCTATAGACCTTTTTATTATGATGCGGCGATCAAGAGGGTTTCTAAAAGACTTTAATCTTCACTTTTCCTTAGAAATACAATATTAGGAAAACTGAAATACTTAGCTTTAAAATTTTCTTTCAAAAATTAAAATTGATTTTTATTTTTTCTGTTTTGTATTATCTTTGTTTCTTATAGGCATTTTTATGATAGCACTTAATTTTTAAAAACGTTTCTGTTAGACATTATCTCTTTTAATGTTTTAAGGAAAAGAAAATATTATATTATATTTAGCAATAAAAATTTGTTTTAAGAACTAAGAGGATATTTTTTTTCCCAATTTTTCAAACTTTACAACTTTAGTTTTTTTAATAGCTGATATAAATTTTTTTTCCTTAATAGTTCTAAGTATATTAATATTTAATTATCTTTATTATCCTAAACATTTCTATCAAAGTTTTTTTCCCTTAACCCCATACCAATAATACAGCTAGATTTTGATTATTTCTCAATAATGACTAAACTTATTTTGATATTAAAAAAATATATAATATTTATTAATGACTTTTTCTTCAAAAAAAATTTTGCTGTTCAGCTGCCAAATATTCAGTATTCGGCTGATTTTTGTGGCCAAATCTTCAGCATTTGGCTATTCCGCCAAATCACTATTTCTTACATAATTAGAACTCAGACTATACTTTTATTTTTAAAAAAAAAAGTAGCCCCGAAGCTTTTGAATAATATTTTTTATTAATTTACATACATTTACCTACTAATTATATAATAAATATACTTAGAATTGTGATCTACAGGTGAATCACAAGAAGCAAATTACAGTAAGTTCCGTAAAATCTTGCCAAACTAACCATTTTACCTTCAACGTAAAATTTTTACATAAACCAGAAGTAATTTGCTTTAAACTTTTAGAAACATGGGTAATTTTTCAAGAGTTACTTACTTTTTTTTTTCAAAAACACTTTGTCTAGTAATATCTTGGACCAACTAAAATTATTTAAAGTGAAACTCTAATTACTTGATTGTTAACATAAATCTATTTCTGCCCATGCTACTCAAACCAGAAAAGTGTATAAAAAATAAAAAGTAGTAAAGGTATTCCCCCAACAGCCCAGTGTGAGCCAGAGGGGTATAGAAGTTAAGGTTCCACAATTTTGTGACTATGTGGCATATGATTGTGACAATGTGGTCATTGTTGCACACAGACTATATTTACTTCTCAAACAAGCTAGTACTCATGATCTGAGTATAAAATGATATCTCTATATATTTACACCAAGACTTAACAGTTAACAAAACAATTACTTCAAAAGTGAAAATTTTACAAGTAAAAAAAAAAAGAGTAAAAAGATATCTACCTGAAATTAAGAAAAATAGGCTTTCTTATCACATTACAGCATTTGTATAGCCAAAAGAAAAGGGTTAATTTGAAAGCTGATAAATAGTGCCCTTTTTCATATTTTCCAGCTTTTTAAATAGCGAAAATTATCTTAATGAGTAGGTTTGATTGAACTATATTTCTTAATACCTTTGTTTAGTTATTTTACTTAACCATCCCCAAACACGCCATAGCACAGAAGAAATGGAAAACCCAGTTTTATTGGGAACCTCTGTTTCAGACATGACAGTCATTGATAAATCGTAACCATTGGTCTCAGGTGAAGAATCCCTCGAAGATGGGTAATCAGGTTCAGGAGAATTTGACTGCAATAACCACAATAAGTCAAAATTAAAATAGAAGTCATAGTCCAAAACAAGTGCAATGTAGACAGGATGAACAAAAATGAAATTATAGCATGAAAATTAAATTATCAAGAAAATAAGCTTGCAAGAAAGAAAAAGACAATTTACTCAAATTTCAGAGGAGAAAGAAATTCAGAGAAGAGAAAAAGAATTCAAAGAATTATTCTCAGAATAAAAATTTTAATTCAGAGAGGTATATGTGGTATCAAAGCAAACACCAAACAAATAGGTGCAAAACACATACAATTGAAACAAAGTGCAAACATGAAACATAGAATAACTATCAGTGATTCCGCTTACACATCATAGTGTATCTAATACACCAAAAATTGTAGAGGAAATGCAAAAAATAAGTTATTTTGTCTCCTGCGTGGGATGCTTAATTCTCAATGCAGGGGAAAAAATACCAAACCATTAGACTTATGTTTACAAAATTATAATCAAACTGCATATGGAAAAAGAATTCTTTATAGCTAAAGAAGAAAATTAAAATATTAATTATTATTGTTGCTTTTCCTTGATTCAGATGTTTGAGCACTCCTAATTTTCAAAAAAAAAAAGAAAAAAATTATAGCTCTTTTCTTTTTTTGAAATTCCTTGGTTTGTCTATCAATAGATAGAATAGTTACGAAATTGCATATTAATAGATGGATAAAGAAGTAGAGAATTCCTGTTTTTAATAAAAAGGGTCCCAGAAATTTGGAAGTCCTGACTCTTAAGGACCAGTAGTTTCAAAAGTCTAGCGGAATCACTGACTGTATAGAATTGTATATCAATAATAAATGTAGCTCCGATAGCCACTATCTAGCCTTGTTCTTTTTTAATTATTGACAAAAAGATGCGACTGTTTGAGCTAGAAAACGTTTTAAAGGAGGAAAAAAATTCAAACTATTTGTCGTTACTTTTTTTCATTAGTGAGCTTCACCTTTCAGAGCAATTATTGAATCAAATCCATATTCCTCTTTGAAAGGTGAAAATTTTATAACTTTGTACCTTTATAAATTTTGCATTTTATTTTTGTCCTAATACCTTCTTAAGAAGTTCCCAAGCATTTATTACTTCTGTGCTATGACTAGGGCAGGTGTTTAACCATTACCTAAACATTAATGCAGAAAACAACCCTTAAATATAAAGAGAAATTTAATATTATTTGTATGTATATGAAATTGGAAAAATATTTATTAAGCTCATAATAATTTTGATACATCTATATTTTTATTTGCTTTATGTAATTGTAATATTTTACAATCATGTCTCTGACATTTTAATATAAAATTGCTAAAAATATGTTATGTTTGTCTAATTTTAATCATTATTTTCAAAAAAATCTTTTTTTTTTTTTTAAATATTCATCTTTTATGAAAGAAACAATCCTTCTTAGAAAAAATAAAGAATGAAATATGTGCAGCATCGACTAGTTAACTTAAAATATATAAATTTAAGCATAATATATTTTTCTATAGAAAAATAAATTTTAAAGAGAACAAATTTGACTTAAGAAAACAGATTAAAAATCAATTTACTTTCATCACATTGTCATGGCAATGTGTGCTTTCTTAATTTGTCTTTTTTTATGTTTACTTTATCATTCAAATCAATTTTCTAATCTCGAAATTCCATTGCCTACTTCATTCCTATCCAATTGGGTTGAATATTCAAGTCCATAAAGTATGATGCCAGATAACTATAGTTCCTTATCTATTAATAATTTTAGATTAAAAAGTATATTATACAACATACATAGGATAATTTTAAAAGGTTTGGGTTCAATAGGGCTCTTTTGAAGAAGAAAAATTTAAATCACAAAAAAATTAATAAAACATTGAAAAATCTCAACAAATAAGGCAAAATAGCATTCCTATATAACATTCTTCTCAGTTCAACATATCTAAATTCAAATTTGGCAAAATCAGTAAGTTATTGTTGCGTCGTATGAATAGAAAAAGCAGAAGATGCAGTTAGTTATACCTTTTCGCAACAATATCTTGCATTTGTACTTATTATTAAAAGAAATGGCTCTAAAATCTAGTCTATTACAATTTCTTTTTTAAGGATTCAAATAAGTTTCAACAAAATCAGTACCAAGTATTTAAACATGGTGCCATTTACTGAATACAAAAATTTATTTAGCAAACACTTTTTTCGGTAACCTATTTATAGATACCCTACTATTATTCCTCCATGGGTTTTAAAAGATATTTCATGCATAACAAGAAAATTGTCTCTGTAAAAGAAGAAAGAATATTATAATTTCAGTAATTACCAATCTTCCATCTTTGCCAAAGAGATCAAGAAAATTATTTATAAATTCCCGGGATTTTTCTTCCCATTTATGTATTATTTCATGCCGTTTGTCTTCAAATTTTCCTTTAATTTTGTCCATTTTGTTCTGAAGTAGAAATTTCTTTTCCTGAAAAAGATTTCTTATAAATTAGTATAACTGCGCATTTTATTTTTATTGAAGATACATAAAAATACACAAAATTTCATTAAAAATTAATAAAAAACATAGAAAATAACAATAATTAAATGCAAAGAAAAACACTGTAATTTATATTAACTTGAATATTTTAGATACAAATTCATATATTAATGAAATTATACATTTCAATCACAATTGTTTTACAGATATAATTAAAAATATTGAACACATAGTTTAATATTTTCAATTAACACATTTGCTTTAATTAATATTTTTTTTAATTTTTTCACCACCACAATTGTATTAATGGGCCTTTCCAGGTATAGTGCCATTTTCTGAAGGGAAAAATTTAGAATGAAAATATTACAGCATTGGCCTCACAAGTATTTTTCTCTTTTCCCTTTTCAAATATAGTTTAGATGTAAAGTAGAAAATACTTCTGGGCTTGGCATCTTGATAAGGTTGGCTCTGTTCATGTTAGAAAAAACATGAGTCATGTGAAATTTATCTCACATAGCATTTAAATTATTTTAATCATGCCTTAGCAGCAAAGTTTTTTAAAATTTTAGGGTAATTTTAGGAGCTTTTTTCAAAAAAATTTAGGTAAATTTTAGGGGTAATATATGATTTTGCTAGGATAAAAACAGATCACACGGTAGTTTATTATATAACAGAAGATTATTACAATTCATCCACACATATCATAAATAATTGCAAGCCATAAAATAAAGCTCTGAAATTTATTAAGTCAAGAATGAAATCTCTAAAGTGTAAAAATGAAATTTCAACTTTACATATTACCTATCAGAAATTAAGTGCATAATTCAGGAACAGGCNCAGGACTTTGATCTGTATATTTTTTGCACCCTAAGCAGTTCTAACTTTAACATCTATTTTTAACAGTAAATCTTGATTTAAAAAAATTGCTATTGAAAAATGAGGAGTACATATTAAACCAAGCAAATGTTATTAAAAAGTGTGAACACTTTTTTATTTATTTTGCACATACAATGATAACCATTAGATTTATATTCATACTGTAACTTAAGAGTTTGTTCACTCTGTTCAATTTTTTCCATAACAAAATGTAGATACTCATAACAAAGTATCTCTAGAAAAGTAAGTTTTTCATATGATATTAATTGGAATTTAAATAATATTTTAACAAAAATTGAAGGATACTAATAATTAACTTTAATGTAATATTTCATAATTTCCAACAGATTTGTGTAAAAATTAATACAAATTATAGCTCCATACTCAGTTGCAAGTTTAGAAAAAACCATTATCATGGATAAAGACTGTTTGCATTTAAGTGTAAGCCAAATGGATGCTAAGCTCGCAGCGCGAACGTATATCAACATCACTAACTCTTAAAACAATGTCACACAGCCTTCTTTTTGCTTTCTTTCTTAAATCATGTGAAATAAGGAAAATAAAACTTATTGAATAAAAACTGATTTTTTTTAATAAGAATTAATGAAAATGATATCTGAAAATCATAACAAATATACATCTTTCTGCTTGCATTAAAAAAACTGATAAAAAAATAACAAATATTGTTTCTTGCAGATGATTTGCTTCTACAGCAAAACAAAAGTAAAAAAATTCTTTATATCGCATTTGATTTGTTAAGGGCATGTTAGCATAAGACGTGCCATTTTTAGTGGTCCTATCAAATCCAATGCTCTTGCAATGGTATATAGTTGTTTTTTCAAAAACAAATGCTATAATTATTTAGCGAAATATGTCGCCAAGTGTAGGATTCCAGTAAGACTACGGAACAATAACCCTTTTTTGATAATTATAATATATATATCATAAAAGATAGCACAAATGGCATTTCTTACCAATGAGTTTAACTTTTAAAAGCTTTTATATTATTTTGAAAACATATTTATATGATTTGATAACTAAATAAAATAGAACTTATATGCAATCGCGGATGATTACTTTAATCTTAAGCTGCAATGGTCTTTTCTTATTTAAAACAGAGTACAGGGTATCTGCTACATTTTAGATTTTCAATTTCATGACAAATTCCAAGAATTTTTCATGATTTAATGACTTAACGAAGTTACTATTTTCTCTGACAATAACACAACAATAAATTTAAAAAAGCATTATAACATTAATTGAAATGATAGGTATAACCAAAACTGTTATACTCTGCATCTTTATATTTATAGATTTTTAATTTAAAAAACAGAAAAAAGAAAGAGTTGAAGCAATAAAAATAGCTGAAAAAAATACAAAAGCAAATAATTTTTTTTTCTGCAGAATTATATTCTAAAGATAATTTTCTCATTTATCGGAAAGGAAAGTAATACTCCTGATTTTTCTGTTCTCATGTCAAAATAAAAAAAAATTCGCCAATGACTGGCTTGCTTCAGCTAGAATTTTAAATTGATAAAATAAAAAATAATAATAACAAAAATTCTGAAATCACAAAGTTTAAAAGATAATTTGCTCTAGAAATGATGTTTTTTCTTTAATTTTTTGAAAAAGCATCATAATTTTTTTAAAAGAACATGATAAAGATACTTAATATTTTAATAAAATAAGACTGTTAGTGGGGATTTTGTTACAAATTCAGATATTCGGAACACCATGAAATTGGAGGGGGACATAATTCTATTTTAAAAATTAGATTTTTCGGCAACCTAAATACATGACTTTCCATGATTTTTTTTAAAAAAATAGTTCAAATCATGACATTTCATAACAAATTTTGTTCAATACCGAAATTCATGACTTTTCAGGTGCGCAGATACCCTGAGGGTATAGAACCATGCGTCAATCTCAAAGTTTAATTAAACCAGATTTTACTCAAAAATATTAACTAAAGTGAGAAAAATTAACACAATTTATTTATTTAAACAGAATGGAGTTTCACAATAGTTTGCAAAAATTAAAATAAAATGTAAAAAGGCATTTATGAGCAAAAAATCTTTCTACAAGAGGTTGTTGTTGAGAATTTAGAAGATAAGAGTATTTCTGGTTCTGAGCTGCCATTGCAAAGAACAGAGGGTTTTATCCTCAATGGCAGAGATTGATGAGCACAAGACTGCTTGGAAAGTAAAGGAGGTCAATGAGCAGTGTTGACAACATTGTCACCATCATAGTGTTGTTGACACACTAGAGCTGCACAACGGGCTATTGGCAACAGCATAATTAGATAATAACGACACATGCATGCCGTGCAGGGATACATTGGTGATGATTTTCCAATTCCACGGATACTTTTTAAATATTTATTGCAATATAGAAAAAAAGTTTCCATGTGCAAAAAAAAAACATGCAGGGGGGGGGGAGAAAATACGAAGCAGACGACATAATCATGATTGAAAAAATCATGGTAGAAGAAAATTTATGTCGAGTTGTATGCATGATGCTCCCAAAGAGAAAAGATATAACTACCATTTTAGCCCAAAGATGAGCAATCCCATCGTTGGCGGAGCAGCGTACAAACAGCAAGTCTTTTTTACAACTCGAGTATCATTTTACAACAAAAATAAACAAATGCAGTGACAGTAGGAAATCTTTTAATGAAATTTTGTTTGGAGCAAATTACTAATATTACTTTGATATTTACTCAATATGAATGCAGTTCTTTAATTTAATTTTTATGTATAACTATTTATATTAACCTTTCTTTAATGTTCCTAATGTTAATGTGCATGATTATGTTTTTTTTTTTTGTCCAAATTAAATAAAAATATCAAACAGTTAACTATTTTTGTATATTTAATAAAATTATTCTATTATCAAAAAATATTATGTGCGAAGATACTTAGTAGATTTTATTTTACAATGGGCAACAGTCTAAGAAACATCCATGAGGATGACCCAAAGACATGCCATCAGAAATTTGATCCTCTGCCGAGGGAATGGCTTCCCAACTTTGGTAGCCCAAGGATCTGTATACAAAGTCGAGCACATTACAGTCAAACAATTTAACAAGGACCAACATCACACACCCTTGTTACCTTGGCATGCTGACCAAGGTGGTCACTCACAAGTTTACTGATTACTGCCACTATAGCGATCAACTGGGAGCAGTGTATTACAATCAGTCTACTGCGGGGATGGCTGATGCAGAAATTAACTTTTCCTTCTGCACCAATTCTTTTTTTTCTTTTTTTTAATATTTCTTGAAATAATTTTAAATTTAAAGCTAGTCTTCATGTTTAAATTAAGAGGGAAATTTATATTAATAAAATGAAATAGTAAAAAAAAATTTGCAAGAAATTTAAAATGATACTCACATTTAGAAATGAAACATTCATTTCTTTTGCACTGTACCCTCGGTCTAAATTGCGCCTTACATACATATCATAATCTCGAACAATTCGTGCTACCAAATCTGATGTTGAGACACCTTCAGTTCGTTCCGTAGCAACAAACATGCCCTTTTCTTTAATAAATTTATATACATCATCATTCTCTGATCCCATGTTATATGGCAGATCGTCATGTGCTACAAAATCAATCTATAAATACAAACAAATAATATATTATTTAAAACCATGCCATTTAAACTTATGCAATAATCTGATCTTATAGTAAGAGGCGAACACATAAGCTGCAAATTCAATCTGCACATGTATAAGAACAAAATAATAATTACTATTAAAGTTTATTTATCATTTAATGTTTGATTTAATAAAATCTTTAATTAACTTTAAAAAAATTTGAGCTATAAAAGTTCAAATGATAATTTTAGTTTCATCAAGTTAAATATTTTTTACACTTAATTTATAGCTTATTGGACACACTTCTTCAATGCTTCGAGTAAAAAATAGAAAAGTAATAGTTTCAACACATATACCCACTACAAACCATCCCAAACATCTCTACGGATATATATACGATACAGCACAGTAGCATTCAAGGGAATCAAACATGAAATAAAGCCATACAACCCATACGCTATTTCTATATATTTGGTTTACAGATCAATACCTAATTAAGCAACATTATTTTTTTGCGAAAAAAATAAACTATGAGAAATATAAAAGCATTGCACTACTATATTTGAGCATCAATGCATGTTAAAACACATAAAATTACTAATTCAGACCTGCTAACCAAAGAAATTCAAAAAACATGAGATTTTTGCGACCACCACATAGCTGAAAAACCAAAACAATAAAAAATATTAAAAAAATTTATTTACACTTTCTTTAAATTAAATTCATATAAGCTATATTTTTACTTCTAAAAATTACAAAATAATAAATTAACCTACTTTTAAAAAACAGATTGGGTGACGATTTAGCATTTTTTTAAAACATTAAAACTGTTTCTGATTAGCCTCTTACAATCAACAAATTCTCATAACTTCTTTTTGACGAGGAAAAGAATTAAATCTGGTTTTTTGTTATGTGACTGAATATTCACTCTCAGGTTGCATCAGTAGTACTTTTAATGCAACTGACTTTACACGATTGTGTATCGGTCCTATCAAAAGAATGAAAATTTTCTGTCCCCAAATGTCTTCACAATGTAACAAACAAAACTGAGTTTCTAAAATATCGAAAGATGATATTTGTCCTGTTTTCCTCATACTTTTAAAACACAGAAAAACTATTATCAATGAAAGAAACCTTGATGTCAAAAATAGAAATACTATTCAAATTAGCTATTTTAGAAAGAATAAAGTTATAATATGCTTAGTTAAAAGTAGTGTTATAAATATTATTTATTTACTTTTTTATTTTTAGGGGGGGGGGGTTATCAGACCAAACAGAATATTAAAAAGTAATTCTAAAGAAATGTTAATGATAAACTAAATACACTTGAACTACAAAATAGCTGATATGGAGGAAAGTTTTGGGGGATATGCATGGGTTCTACAATTCATACTCTTATTAGGAAAAAAGCATGAGAAAATATTTTATAGACTTGAAGCCCTCAAATTAGACATAAAAGACTGAGACTTAGACCTAAAGACAGAGTTAACAAGTCTGATAATTTTTTTTCCCCTGTGTTAAATCCTAAGAGATCAGATTAGGATTTATCAGAAGATAAATCCTAAGAGACACAGATTAAAGATCCAATTACTTCTGCGGTTTCCAGATGTCCTCTACTTTACACAATACAGTAGAAAGTCCCATATCCAGAATCTTTGGAACTTCTGCATCTTTCGAAAATAGATTTTTCCAAATAATAGGTGTTTAATGAAAATAAACATCAAAATAATGCATTATTCAATAAAAAATAGAGGAAAATTAAATTAAATTTTATACAACAAAGTTTTCTGTTAGATTGAATGACATTTAATTAACTAAAAAATTTTTAGTATAAAAATATATGCATGAAAAAAAAGTGAGCAGATGATAATTTGAGCTTTCCTAACATGTTTATCTTTTTTTTTCCCCACTTGATGTGGAAAAACAATGTGCAAATAATCAGATAAAAATAACGTTAAAAAAGGAAACAGAAATTTCAAAGGTAATTTAATCTGAATAAATAAAAGAAAAAAATTATCTAAAGCAAGGAGCAGAATTGAGTAGATTTTATAATGAAAACATTTATTTGAAGTGATACAAAGCTTGTCTGATGGTGTTCTTTTCAAACAATTTTAATATTTAACTTAATTGATATTCATGGCTTATTCTTTTAACCAAAGATTCAATTGCACTTGCCTTTTCAACAACTGTTTTAGTGAGCTTATTAAGGCAGAATAAATCTCCAGCTTATTGAAGCATTTAACTATTGGAAAAGCAGCAAGAAAAAATAAGAATAATGTTTTTTTGTAATACTGCTTTAACATACTGCAAGCATAAAAAAAAATTTTTTTTAAAGGTAAAGAGATTTACTTATTAATGCCAGGGAAATGAGGCTTCCAGAAAAAAGACATCTAGATATGGAACTTTGTGCCGTAATAAAATAAGGGTTCATCATCTTAAACAATTAAAAACTACAGTAGAGCGCCGATTATCCGAACCTATCGACAATTTAATAATATTTAACCTATCGACAATTTTTCTAAATTAAGAAGAATAAACAATATCCCCTACATCTGAAGACCATATTTAATTTACAACCTTTTTAGCAGTTTTCTTATAGTAGCCATACATACATGTATTGTGATACAGTTAATCCTACATACCCCTTTACAACTGAAAATTATCTTCCAAGAATGCGAGCTTCATTTTGATAGTCTACAATGGTTGGAATGCAGAAGGAGTTTATGAATAGATAAGTGCTGAAGTTCTATAATTGGGGGATGGGTAGTTGTCACTTATGGTTAATAATTAGTGATTACAGTGCTTGGAATCTTAAATCTTGGAATAAAATTCTTAACAAAAAAACAAACGAAACTGAAGTTTCTGAACCAGTAGATCTTTCGGATGAAAATGATGAAATTGTTGCTGAAATTTTGAAGGAAAATCGGAACTCCACAAACGAAGAGGAAGAAGTAAGTGATCAAGTTCAAGATAGTGGACCTTCTCATATAGAGGCATGCAATTCATTAGATTTTGCAATGAATTGGCTAAAACGTCGAAATGATGTTGATCCAGTTCGGTTGATTTATTTAAAAAGAATAAGGTTGTATATGGCTGCTCAACGAATCTTTTAAACGAAATCTTTGCTGGATTTCTTTTGCAATGGAAAATAATGAAAAAATGTGGTAAAATCAGTAATTGACAAAAAAATTATAAAAAACTGAAATAAGATAAAAATAATTCAAAATGAAAAAAAAAAAGTTTAAAAAAATTTATTAAAAATATTTAAAAGTTGAAAAAAAAAAACCTTTAAACACGCCAGAGCTATTTTAGATAGTACAGTACAGAACCCGTTATCCGGAAATCAGAAAACCGGAACGAAATTCGATAAATTTTCTCGCCAATTTAAAAAAAAAAATTTTTTTTACTCATAAGATTTTACGATTTTTCTTTCTTTTTTTAAAGATGTTTACCTTACCATCATTTTGGAAATAACCATTAGTGTATTACTTCATCGTTTTTTCTTATTTTTAAGATTATTTCCTAATTTTTTTTTTGTTGGGTTTAACAATAAAAAAAAACGGCTTTTTGTAGCGATTCAGAAAACCGGAAAAATCAGTTATCCGGAATAGCGATGGTCCCGACCGTTCCGGATAACGGCTTTTTGTAGCGATTCAGAAAACCGGAAAAATCAGTTATCCGGAATAGCGATGGTCCCGACCGTTCCGGATAATCGGTTCCCTACTGTACTGCCAGTCCCAAGCCTACAAAAGGTGCCAAGGGAAGTTAGTACATAAATAATAATCATTTACATTAGATTTTAAACAACTTTCCAATTATCCGAACTTTTCATTATCTGAACCATGTTCGGTCCCGAGCAGTTCGGATAATCGGCGCTCTACTGTATTTATTTTAAAACACGAACTATGAAATTGCACACACTGCATCTCTTTAATCATTCAGTAATATTATAATGATTAAACAGGGTAAGAATGAACACATGAATTCCATGTTACCTTGTTATCTTCTAAAAACTTATCATCTAGCACCCACGGTGCATCACGATAAACTTCATCCACATAACGACAATGACGTACAGCCTCATACCTTTCTTCATCAGTCATCACTGTTTTACCTTTATGCTGGTGAGTGAGGAAATCACTACAAACTAAAAATAAATTAATACATTAATAAAAGAAGAAAAAATTTGAAAAGGCCTACATATAAGGCGATGAACAAGAATTTTCTGATCAACTTTGACATAATACCCACTGAAAGAACTAACAAAGCTAAATTATATAGGCAGAAAATGTCACAGCAATGCATGAAGTTTTACTTCAGTAATATGAGATCATCAGTAACACATGAAGTAATGCATGAATAAGTGGGGAAAAATGAAAGAATATGGAAAAAACTGCCCATTGTTAAAATGGGAGTGAGGTAGAAACGAAACAATGGTGAAGGAGGGGAATTTTTCCCATCAATGTCAATTACTGATAAATAGAGACAGCTGCATCGAAAATAGCTCTGTAAACATGAGCCACTCATAAATATTTTGAACACATTTTAATCTAGTTATTTGTTTTAATATTTTTTGTTGGCTATTTTCTCTTATTTCTTTAATTGAACTTTTTCACATTTGGTGCAGAGGTCTTCCTGGTCACTGGAAGAGATTTTGATGGTCTTTCCCAAAGGTTTTCTTCAACACGTCTATGGAAAAAATTTTAGTATCTTTCAAAAGTGATCCTAAGGATCCTATGAGGAGGTCGCTACACAGAGGTGGTCCTTCCTGGAGGCTTCACTGTATATAGAACTTCACCCATTGCTGAGACATGTATGTTCAAATTATCAACTTAGTATGTAGTATTTAGTATGTATTTAATGCAGATATTATTGGATCTAAGAGTTATAAATCAGGGATGAGATTGGCCAAAAGGCAAAAAAGCTGAATTTTGACGCGAGTAAATCTTACGTGATTTATAGCAAAAATATCAGTAACATATTCTCATTCAGTTTCGCTGATGTTGTAATGCCTATATATACCAATAATCCTTGATAGAAAAACTGCCTTATAGTAACTAATTCAGGGAAAAAAATTTACTTCTTACAAGAATCACGATCTTGGATTTTAAAATCAAGAGAATACAAATAGCGATCTTGGATTTTAAAATCGCAAGAATATGAATCACGATATTAAACTTTGAAATCACGTGAATTTGAAACTCAAAATTGGATTTCAAAAATGTAAAAATACAAATCATGATGAGTAATTTTCAGATCGCGTGAATACGAATCCAAAGCCTAATTTTTAAATCATGTGTAAATACGAAAATTGATGTTTGATGTTACAACCGCAAAAACGAATCACGACATTGGATTTTAAACTCGAGTGAATACGAATAGCTACATAGATTTTAAAAAAGTGTACATACAAATCGCGAGAATGGATTTTTAAATCTCGTAAATGAGAATTGCAATGTACGATATTGAAATCGCATGAATAAGAATCGCAACGCGCAACTTTTAAATCAGGTTAATATGAAAATCGATGTTTGATATTAAAATGCAGCGACGTCTGGATTACGAAAATACGTGCTATCAAGCGAACGGGTAAAAATGCAGAAAATCTTGTTGTCCTGGCGTAAAAGCGGAGAAAACCGCTAAAATAAGTAAAAATGCGGAATAACAAATAATTATTTTATTTTAGAAACAAATAATTATTTATAGAAACAAATAATTATTTTATTTTAACGACTGAATTTTCAGAGAAAGTGGAATATTTATAAGAAAACTCGAAAATTTTAGAGAATCGGAGTTTTTGGATTATAAGGCTGAAACTCGAGAGACAAACGCGAAAAAAGCGAAAATCCGCTAAAAAGCGGAAAAATCTCATCCCTGTATAAATGTTAAATAATAAGAAGAAATATATAATACAAAATAATATGAAAGGCAATGATGAAATCTTTGTAAAAAAAATGTAGCAAGCAATCCCAAATTAATGTTGTTCATAAAAAATTACTATTTAATGCAAAGTAATAAAAAATGCTTAGCGGGATCCTAAAATCATTTCCACAGATCAGCAAAAAAAATATTCACTCTAATTTTATAAATTAAGAAAAAAAATTATTAAAAAAGCACCACCTAATGCATAAAAGAAAACAGATTTTTCACTTCAAGAGGTTAATGCATATTTTTGTAACAAAAAAAAAAAGAGTTAATTTTACTAGGAGCTTGCTAAGCCTAAATTTCTGTTTACAGCTATTAAAAAAAGATACTTAATGGTTTTGTTCTTTCGCAGAAAAATAATGCTTACTAGAAATATTCACAAAATCAGTAGATGAATTGTTCAAACATATGAAAGTATTTGGTATGCACTCTAGATCAGAGAATTCATAACTTGAAGCTAAGGCCGAAATAGGAATAAAATAAGATGTACAAAGATAATTTATGGGTGTACAAAAATAGTTTCATACATAATACTTAAACATATTTTTATACAAAATTCCCTAACCATTTAAGTACTAAAATACTAGAGCAAATTTGCACAAAATATTTCTTGCTGATCATTTTTCTTTCATTAAATAACACAAAGAAAAAACAATTAGAAATATAGAAAAATAAACTGGAATCTACCTCAGCACTTCTCAATTTTTTTATTATTTTTTTTCAGCTACGGAACTCTAAGTAATCAAGCTTCTTTTGGCGGAATCCTGACTTTTAAAAACCGTTCATTAGCAGGTGTAAATGTACTAACAAAGAAAACTATATATAAATTAATTCAGAAATATTTAATGTCAATTTTCATTGCTTCACCAATAAATCTAAATTAAGTTATATGTTAGGAAGTTCAATTCGCAAGTCTTCAGTACCAATGCTCTTGCTTTAAAATTAAGTTCAGTAGTATTTGCCTTATAAGTTGAAATTAAATAAAATAAGCTGAAATATGCTTTTTGAAAAAGAACTGTTATAAGTTGTGAGAATAGTTATCAAAACAAAAAATAATTCTTATTCTTAAATTCGGTTATTTTATTTTGAATTTCAAAGTTCAATGAAAAATACTGATTCAAACATATGTAAATACACATCTTTTTGTAATTTATTCAATACATTATTATAAAAGTCCCAGCTCACACAACTTATGTGACCTTCCCCAGGAACCCTGGCGTACCATGGAACATTACTTGGGAACTGCTGATCTACATCCAATTGATTTTGGGATCCCTCAGAGAAAAGCAGCTTTATGAGAAATTGAAAAAAAAAACTAAATTAAGAGCCAGGTACTTCTTTAAAATAAAGAATTATACCTCCGACTATAAGATGAACATCTGGAAATGCACACTTTGCTTGCATAAGTTGACATGCATGACCTTGATGAAACAAATCATAAATCCCATCAGCATATACCCGTACTGGTCTGGGAGCTAATAAAATATCATTTAGGAAATTAAATAGAATAAGCAAAGGAATACAACAATAAAAAAACATAAATTGTTCCCCTGTGGCAGAATCGCAGTGACACGGCAACATTGTCGCAGAACGTTACAGAGTTCTTGCCAAAAAATTTTTCTATTGAAAAGTAAGAAGAAAAAATTTCTTTTTTACAGAAATTTATATGTAATATTTGAATCATGCATTTAGATAATCTCTTTTTAATGCGCTCAATTTATGCCGATAGTATCGTAAATCAATGTAATATTTCGATTCATTTTCAAGTGGATTTCAAATATCCCAATGTATTTCAAACAATATGGAATTTCGAATCGTGTAGTCGAGTATTTACTTTTTAAGGCAATAATTCTAACGAATTTTTAGCTGTTATTGCTATTGCTTTCTCCATAGCTTTTAAATCCAATATTTTTAATACAATATTATTTATTACAACAACCTAATCTCAAAACGAAACACGCATTTGAGGAGTTAGATTCGCATGATTTCACCGCCGATCTATTTTTCAACAATTACTACTACGGATTACGATTATTTTTCTTTTATTGTTATGATTACTTACAAAATGAGAAGGAAATAATTTGTGCTCCCTCCTCCCAACAAAATGCGAGAATATCATCCATAATATTAGAATAAAAAATTATGACACGTACAATTAAAAAAAATACATGTTTTTTTTGTAAACACAGTGCTTTTGCTATTTTAAGTAACATATATGTTTGTTATTTGTTAGAGAGTTTTGTCGTAGATTGCTCGAAAAAATTCTGCCACAGGGAATTGTTCACACCAAAATATTTATTTTACCAAACAATAGTTTCTTAAATTCATTAATAAAGAAAAGAATCACAAGCCATTTAAATAATCACTCATTAATAAATCTTTCTGATACATTATAACTTGTCTGTTGAATAAATATTTACATACTGAAAAATTGTTACAAAATATAAAAATATCATAAGCAAATTAACAAACCATTGCTACTTTTAGCCATTTCTTTCGTAATTTTAACAGAATAATCGCAACGATTTCTAGCATCAATGGCTTCAGGTTCGTCACTAAATGGAGCAGGTCGATACAATGCCTAAATTACAATAAATAATATTATTAGAATATTTCTAATACTAAGTAAAGCAGCACTAAAAAATAGATATGAGAAAACATACTTACAGAAGTAGTAGGTCTATCTGCATATGGAGTTTTTTTCTCTCTAGCATGAGTGGAGTTACGACTACCTGAACGACGTCTTTCCAAGCGAGCCTCAGCTCTGCTACTTTGTCTTTCTAAGCAAGCCTCAGCTCTGCTACTTTGACTGTCTAAGCATGCCTCAGCTCCGCTACTTTGTCTTTCTAAGCAAGCCTCAGCTCCGCTACTTTGTTTTTCTAAGCAAGGTTCAGTTCTTCTACTTTCTTTTCCTAAACAAGCTTCAGCTCTGCTACGTTTGCGACTTCTCGCTTGTCGGCCAACACCATTATTCCTAAAATAAATATTTTTTTAAAAAATTTCAAATAAATTTCAAAACCCTATGCATTTTAATACAAACAAATACAAATTATTAAAATATAATGATCAAATTAATACAAATTATTTTGGAAACTACTTTTCATTTGAAACATTAATTATAATGATTTTAAACAAGAAGACATACATGAAGTGACTGATGATGTAAGGGAAAGAATAACTTTTGGTATACTTTCACTGCAAGTGTGCATTTCAAATTTATTATTTATGCCCTTTAGTGAAAATTTTGGCGAATGTGTAGTTAATACTTCATTGATTTTAGACAATTCCAAAACTTTTTTTTCTGCACATGTTTACATGTTTATATGAGATTTCTGTTTTGTTTGTCTAAATTTGGTACATCCAGAACAGGTAAAAAAAAATTTGACACATTAAAAATTTAACCATGGATAAATCCATCATATCAAAATTCTTTGCCAAACACCTACTAACAAAAACATTTAGTAACTATATAAACACCGAAAATATATATTTTAACATCTAATTATACATTTAGTCATATTCTGATCGAGCATACAAACACAAAAGCCCATTTTCCAAAAGCCAGTACAATTATGAATATTTGCTGATAATATAAATCAGCGGATCCCGAATGGTATTCCTCGAAACCTCAAGTTTCCGTAGAAGAATTAAAGATGTTCTAAAAGTTATGAGTTTTTTTGTTTGGCAGTAATTGTTTTGAAATTTTTAATGATATTTAAATCTAATCAATAATCCATTATCCAATATTTTGTTTGACTTTATGAAATTAATAGAACCAAAATGCCAATAAAAAGAAATAGTGAAAAAAAATTTAATAAGTTTTATAAAAACAATATCTTGCATTAACTATGAAAAGAACATGCATTTATAAAATAATTGCTTCAGTATTTCTTCTGCAGCTTTTCAAATCAAAATAATAATAAAATAAAACAAATTTGCAAATAAAGAAATATAATCATTTTCAATGTCAATAACAGTCCTTTTTAGTTTTCCTTCCAAAGAAAACCATTATTCTGTTATTTTATTTATTTTTAGCTAACGTATATACAACAAAAACAAATTCATTACTAGATAAGATTCCAGAATTACGAACTGTACTATGTGACATAAAATATAAATTAAGATAATGATTAAAGGATGAAAAAATAATTTAGACCTTTAATGAAATATTTTCAAAATAAAACAGAATTCTATTGGTTTATATGTTCCCAATTCAGGGTTGGCAGGTTTTTGACATGTGACAGTTTTTGACGGTTTAAACCATGGTTTAAACCGTCAAAACCATGGTTTACCATGGTTTAAACCGTCACGTCAAAAACCTCACTGTCAAAAATGTCAAAAACCTATATTCATATGTGAAATTTAATTAATACATAAAATTTATATATTTTCATAAAATTTATAAATTTATATAATGTAATATTTTCAAAATAAAACAGAATTCTATTGGTTTATATGTTCCCAATTCAGGGTTGGCAGGTTTTTGACATGTGACAGTTTTTGACAGTTTAAACCATGGTTTAAACCGTCACGTCAAAAACCTCACTGTCAAAAATGTCGAAAATGTCAAAAACCTATATTCATATGTGAAATTTAATTAATACATAAAATTTATATATTTTTTATAAAGGATAGTGTTTCTAAATATGTTCTAGAAAAAATACATTTAAAATTTTGAAGAAACACTTATATTTAGAATAGTAACCAAAATCTTGTACTTTTGAAAGCTCACATCTTTCGTAATATTATGCATTCATTTTCATGTGTTATTGAAAATCTGTAGTGATATTATTAAGACATTTATTTATAACCAAATTTAGTGTATAGTATAGATTATACTAAAAATTAGACACTTTTAAAGATAAACATTAGTAGTTTTGTACATTAGACATCTTTTAAAGAAAAATCTTTTAAACAGGTTGGGCACATGCAACATTCACAATCAGGGAATTTTTGTCTATTTTTAGCTCTTCTAAAGTAAACTGGGGGGAGGGGGATTAGTGAACTGCTTTCAACATACTTTGTTTGGTGGTGGAAAAATGTTCAAAACTAGTTATGTGCTACCGTATGCTGCGAGGAGCAAATGAACTAGACTATTGAATTTTGAATTAAATTTCTACTTCCATCATTTTCATTTTGATTATGTAGTGTGATGCATGTTCTAATTTTTAAAATTATGTATTTAATTAGGATAATTAAAAAATTTCCATAATAATTTGTTTAAATATTTCATGGATCAGTGACTGTAATGTTCTTCTGTTTAGTTTGACTTTTGTGATTGGTTGTTAGTTTTTCAGAAAAATCAGTAATTCTGAATTTTAAATCTTCAATTTTTTTAAATTCATAGTTAACATAAGACAATACAAATTTAAGTGCTTTCTGTTAAATACACAGAGTAGTTAGTGTCGATTTACAGTATATTCAGCCTATTCATTTACTATGCTGAAAATTTAGTTTATCCAAATACTTGTGAATTTCATTTTGCTGAATACTATATAGTTTTGTTGAATATCTAAATATTCAGCTGTTGAATAATTACTTCTTGCTTTCAAGATATGCATTATTTGTATTCTTAATACAAGTGGAGAAAAAAAAATTAAGAGATAAAAATTGTTTTAAAATGATAAGTGTAATAATTATAAATAAATATAATAAACAATATGAATTATATTTATCATTATTCATAAATATAACTACTTTTAAATTCAAATTAACATACTGGATAATAAAGATATTCGGTATAACATTAAAAAAAAATTTTTATACACTTGTATCTTATATCAAGTTTGTATTTATACAACATAACTTGTAAGTTCCTTATAAATATTAGTTATATGTTCCTTATATGTCAAAAATGCATAGTAATAAACTTTTAATTTTCTTAAGTATCAAAAAGAAAAAAAAAATTTTTTTAAATATAAATATTTAAACAATTTTTGTGCAAAATTTTTCTGCACATGCATTTGAATATAAATTTCTGAGATTTTAAATCTGTTATTTTACCTTAATTTTAATTAAAAAATATTTTAAAACCTGCTGATTACCTATAGTATAATTAAATTTCAGTATAATGCATGGCAACTGTTGATAGTTTTGAAGTTTATATATTTTCTTGGCAAACTTCAGTTTTTGACGGTTTAAACCAGTATTATACCCTTGTCATGTCAAAAACCCAACCCTGTCCCAATTAACTTTATATACTTTATTTATGAAGTCTTTACTCTAACTAAGTCTTGATTGTAACTTTATATATTTTATTTATGGGGTTCCGCCTATAGAAGTTTGATCCTTTATGGTTCCAAAGATGAACAAAAATTAGGAACCACTGATATAAATACTGTATATAGAACTAAGAAAGATATAATGGCAGTTCACAAAGACATTGGGAGTGCAACTAAAAATCTTGGATTAATTGTCAATAAAGAAAAGACTAAAATCATGCCAATAACAAGCAAAATTACTGAAAATAAAAAAGTATGTTTTTGAAAAGCCTATCTAAATTATCAAATGAGAACTGACAATGCTGGATTGGATACATGATACTTTATTGCAAGTGAATACTTGAAGGTGTTTCTCCTATACCTTATGGCAGTATACATAAGGGCATTCATCTATACTGCCATGATGCTATGTGATGATGTTATAAATTTTCAAAACATTAAAGAGACATTGTCCAATACAAAACCTGAGCATGGATATTTCGTAGTGCCTAAGGTTATAAACGATTAGGGTAAAATGAGGCTCATATTAATTCTATAATAGATCCACTTTCAAAGTATCTGTTCTCAAAGGCGGTTTATCTATATCCGACGGAGCCTTTTCTTTTGAAAAAAGCAAATTCGGCTCTGCAAGGTGCTGCAGCAGCATGTGCGAATGCATTAAGTTTGAACACATAGAATGTATGCCCCTCAAAACAGGAAGGTTGACGATTGATTCCCCGTTAATATTCGCTCCAATGTCATGGTCATGTTGCACTCACACAGATAATCATAGCTTAACCTTCCGTTAGTCGCGCGCACCTCACAGGTGCATCCCTACTGCACTTCCACCTCCTTTGCCGTCAATAGATTTTTCCGGGGGTCGAGCCTAATGTTATGTTCCTAACTTTGGATTACTCAAATGTCCGTGTAAAACCGACCTTAGAACATGTCGATGGAGAGTTGGAACCGCTCAAATCACCCCTCTGGTGCAGCGCGACCATTGACGCAAGTATTATGGATATAATATTTTTATGAATTAAATATATATATTTTATCTCATTTTCTGTCCTACTCAACGTAGCAGGTATAAATGGTCAAGTTATATACACAGAAAATGGTTACGGAGTAAAAAACCGCAGAACCTTCTTGCGTTAATTGGTTGAACATCTTGTGATGGAGGAAGAGATCCGACGCGGGAGGAAGAAAAATTTATCTTCGGTACTTCGGTAAATAAGTTTTTTGATATTTATCTCTCTAAAGAGTCTTAAATTGGTAACAATTAACTATTTAAACTAGACTAAATTTCATTTGGCTTTCAAAAAATCAGAAACACCTCACAGGTGCAACGCGATTAACCATGTCGGAAACAAGTGCGCGACTAACGGAAGGTTAAAAGAACTACTTGATACCAAATTAAATAAGCAGCAGCAATCTTTTCATTGGAGAAATGAACAGTCTAAATACTGGGGAACAATTTTAAACAAGAATAATGGCATAATAAAAAGAAATTACCAACAGAATAAATATGGCTAATATATGCTATTTTGGAATAAAAGAATAGTTCAAATCAAAATACTTGATTAAGAAAACAAAAGATATAACTATGTAAAACCTTAGTAAAATTATTAGTTTTTTTTATGGAAGAGAGTACTGAACAATGAACGAATTAGAAGAAAATAGATTACTTATATTTGAATGAAAAATCTTGAGAAAAAATTTAAACGTGGTAATGGAGAATAATGTACGAATAAGATACAACTTTGAATTATACAACAAATTCAGAACCAAATATAGTGAAGTTTATTAAAATTCAATAAATGAGATGGCTAGGTCCTATCTATAGATATGACAATGAGAACTCAATAAAAAAAAAACAACTTTTTTCAAGCCAGAAAGAAAAAGAAAGAGCTGGATTACATGCAATATGGTTAGGTAATGTGGTAAAGAATCAGAGCAGTGTGAGAGTTGATACATGGAACGTAGTGGCATCTGATTGATCAAGATATGGATAAAGATGCTTGAGACAGTCATGGCTGGCAATCGGCTGTAATGCAGGTAGAAGAAGTACATATTGAATTATTTATAAATAAAATTTTATGCTATAAAACTGCTTACACCAAATTTTAGTCATAAACCTCATACCTAGGTTGAGGATAAATCACACACTAGATTTTTGTAGTTTCAACCCGCATTTGACATTTGTGATGTCAAAAACCAGTTTCTAAAATCAAAAGCCAATCCTGATTCCGAAATTAATTATAATAGTTCCTAAGAAATTTAACTGTTACCTAAAAAAAAACAACAAGTTTTTGCATTGCAGTGCAATTTTATCGATGCACTAGTTGCCTTTGGCGACCAGCTTAGTCAGTCACCTTTCAAAATTATCTTGTATAACATATAAACTTTACTGTCAATCCCTAAATACATTTATCAAGTCATAACTTGAGAATCGTATATGCTTTTGCTCAGGCTCCATCAACAATAATTGATGTGACAGTATGCAGCATAGCACAGTTTATATTCATAATTTCTACAGCCATTTTACTTTTCCCCCCTTTTCCCTTCATTTGTTTTATGTTTTAGAACAGGAGTTTCCAACTTAAATGAGGCCGGGGGCCGTAATTAAAAACACCAGTCAAATGGCAAGTCGCAACTTTATCAACATTTTATACAGAACTCTTATGCTTGAAGGAACATTAAATATTACTTTCAGATTTTTATCAAGTTGTACAAAACGAAAGTATTGAATTTCAATTTAAAATAAGAAGTAGATTTTTACCTGAGAAATAAATTTTTTACATTGTTAGTATGTTAAATTTCACAGAAACGAAGAAATTAAGTTTTTTTTAACGCAGAAAAGTACTTTAAACCCCAATAGATTTTTTACAAAAATTGTCCGCAAAAAATGACAACTAATACATTTTAGTTCGCGGGCCACAAAAAAAGCTTGGCGGGTCGGATGTGGCCCATAGGCCGCCAGTTGGTAACCACTGTTTTAGAACATCAACAGTCAAATTTATGTTAATTTCATGTAAAACTTATATATTTTTAAAGATTTGGATTGTTTTGAGCATTATTTTCTTACAAGCTTCATTTTGTTCACCAGATATTCAGTTCATTTTTGATGGGATTATTGGGATTTGATGATCATTGGGATTTCAATCATCCAGATGATTGAAATCCCAAAATATTATTCATTTGAAATATATTGTGGAAAAATATTAAATATTCTTGCCTTGTAAAACTTATGATGCAACAAAGTGCAACTTTTAAATAAAAATATTTTACTACATGTTTGGCAGATAAAAAATATGGTGGTACTACAGATCATTACAAAGGTTTCTACAATTAGGATTACAAATTAATCATATTATCAATGAATGAAAGATGGTTTAACTTACATGTGTTGTGGTGGTTGCGATTCTGGAGCATTGCCTTCCATTGTTCCTTTATTTATTTGCCTCAGTAAAAAATCTGAAAGAAAGGTTTTTATTTATATATATATATATATATATAAAATTTTAATTACAAAGTGTCAACTTGAGTTAAGAGAATCTAGATCAAGTTCATTAAAAAAAATATCAGTTAACAGTGTTTTCACTACAGCGCGAGAATGAGAGAATCTCGCATATTTTTTTAGATTCTCGCACTAAAAAATTATTACCGCGAGAAATTCGCGCATTCTATAAACCAATTTCAAAATTCGCGAATTTCTCGCATTTTGAAAAAAATTTCTCATTTGCGCCATTTAGAATAAAATCCGTTTCNTTTCTTCAAAATTTTAAATTTATTTTTTCTAGAACATATTTAGAAACACTATCCTTTATAAAAAATATATAAATTTTATGTATTAATTAAATTTCACATATGAATATAGGTTTTTGACATTTTCGACATTTTTGACAGTGAGGTTTTTGACGTGACGGTTTAAACCATGGTTTAAACTGTCAAAAACTGTCACATGTCAAAAACCTGCCAACCCTGTCTACAGTACTTCCTTCACCAAATTTTACAACCTTGTTTTGACCACACTTGTATCGTTTTTTTTTTTTTTTCATTCATCATACAAAGGCTCCAAGTTATAGTTAATTAAATTGGTATTCTTTTTAGGTACAAGGAATAGCATTTTCACAAGCTTTTATCAATGAAAGGTCATATTTCAATAAATCATTTTCAATATTAAAAAAAATATTGTGCAATTTCCAACTTTGCCAACAATATTTTTTTCTTCTGATTTTTTTATGTTAGTTGGCAACCAAAACAAATAAACCAATAAAAAGGTATAACCCTATAACAAATTTGTTTGATACATTATTCTTTATGATTTGGTTACTATTATTTTCACCAAATGACAAACAGTAAGAAATCCAACACCATCTTTTGAAAAAGTATATGAAATAAGATATTTTGGGTAAAAGTACCCGTGCCTTAATTTAAAAAGAAAACAAGTACTGGTACTTTATGAACTAAAATAAATCAACACAGAAAGGGGTTAAAGGATATAATCTGTAAACACTTTTTAGCACACTACTATGCTTAACTTCTTATATTTATCTAATTTAAAAGTAAGATTTTGGCGATTGACAACTATAAACAGTAATTCTTTCTACATGTAACACTAAACAGTAACAAAATGCAAAAGCAATATCGCAATAAAAGTAACTGTGAAAGAGACGAAAATAAACATTCCTTCTTTTTAACATTGGCAATTACCTCAAAAGCAAATGCATTTTTTACTATTTTAAGTATTTCTTGAACTTCAAGAGTTAAAAAACGTACTAATATTGATTATTCTAATTAAATCGGCTACTTCAAATAAGTTTTAAAAATACATTTTTGCAATAATCACATTATATTTAAATAGAAAATAAATTTAAAAGCAAATCAAAATATCTTATACTTATTGCCGAAATAGGGACGTCTTCAAAAATGATTTTGCTATTTGAATAAGTTCTTTTACAGTTTTAAAATTATTAATTCACGGTAAGAGTATGACAAGAAACAATTTTATTGATAACCATACTATTGTGGTTATTTGCTGTAAAATTGAAAAGATATAGTATGGAAACAGGTGACTTATCATAAAATGTAAGGTATGCTGTGATAAGAAAATCAAGAGTAGATAAAACATATGGCTGTTTTACAATATTCAAGAGGCCATAGTGAATTTTTCTTATGATTTAAGGAATTATTTACATTTATTATCACTGATTTAAATGCTGCTGAAACATTAAGTAGATGAGCAAAGATTGATCTTCAATACTGAAATTGACTGTAGCTAATAAACAGATTTAAAAATCTGAATGCACATGCTATGTAACTCATTCTTCTACACTAAGCACTAAAAATGTATTATTTCTAAAATTCATCCCCATTTTAGATACAATTATAGATAACTAACTTGGTTATATGCAAGTTTGAAATAAATTAGATATATTTTTAAAACAAATAACAATTCATGAAATAGTGTTAGTATTATTAGATATGTATATTAATATGTTTAAAACTTTGATGATTGAACTTATACAAATAATTAATAAATTCATTTGTATTAATATTTAATAAAAGCATTTTATGGCAATATATAATGTTCTTCCATAAGCTCTTTCTAAAACAAACATTTTAAACATAATATTCCTAAATTCCAACTCTAGAAACTATTTCGTAATTTTGATTTGGCTAAATACAGTATTAAAACAATTAACAATTGAAATCACTCCTCTAATTAAAAAGTTCATTTATTAATTTTTAATAAAAAAAATTATTTTATGTCAAAATGTCACTTACATGTTTCTCTTTAACCTTTTTACCTAATAATAGAAACATAGTATTTCTAAAATACAGTATAACTCTAAAAACTATACATTTTAAAAAGATTTGTAAATTTAAGCTTTAACTGTATCATGAAATCTTCCATTTTTTAATTATTATTAGAAAATATCATTTAGCCATTTTTCCTGTTTTTTGCAAGAACATAAAAATTTGACAAAAAATAAGAAAGGCCTCCTATTGTAAACTTTCCCCCATACATGTTTGAAACAAATGACAATTGAAACAATACACCCAATTAAGAGATTCATTTTTTATGTTAATTTCCTAATGTATAGATAATTCCATACCTCGAATGTGGTTTCAAAATTCAAAATAACTACAATTTTATTAGATTAATATAACTGATTAATTTCATTTTTATAATAAAGGAGGGAATTTTTCGAAAATCGGCTTCATAATATAACATCTGCTAACTATTAGATTGCAATTACAAAATAAAAAGCTAGCATTTTTTCCATTAATATTGAACTTACGAACTTTAATATTATTCAAAAGTAACTGGAAACTTTAGATAAGATATTTTTACGCATGAATACTGCTGAACATTCATAACTAAAAATAAAACGTTTGACACTCAGCGTTCGTTTTTTTACTTCTTGCTAAAAACTCAAACGATATTCATATCACTAAATAGAAGCACACTTTTTTTATTACTGATTTTAGGTTTCAAGACAAGAAAAGAATAAAAAGTAAATAGTAAATTTGAAAAATTATTCAAGATGTACCTACTAGGCGATCAAGTTGAAAATCATTCAGAGTAAAAAGAGATAGAAAAATCTTAATCAAAAATCAAATCAATTACAAGCAAGTGGACATAGAGATCAAAGTCTTTCACGGTGCAAGGGTGAAAATATTTCTTTTTTTCTAGTCAATAGTATAACTTGAGGACATTCTATCTTCAGTTTTGTTGAAATAATTTCGAAAGAAAAAACTTAATTACGATGTACTACTGCAACCGTTGAAATTTAAAATGTAAGTAAATAAATTAATTAGTTTAATACATTGAAAATGTTATGAATATTCAATAACAGCTCACCTTTGAAATTTTTTTGCTCATTTTCAAAACATTTCTAACTTGATGTGGATGCGGAAGAAAAACATTTACGTCGCCAGGTAGTCACGTGGTGCTATAACAAAACAAAAAAGAAATATGGAATGGGTATCACGCGAATGCAGTTAACGTGGAGGACGGTGAAGCCTTGACGAAATATCAGGATTGTTGTCGTGACGTCATGAAGTCTGTTTATAGTAGATGGTGAAAACAGCAAGATCTTTGTTTTCGGGTACAACAAAATCATCAAATTTCAATCGTCATCAAAAATGGAAAAAAAAGTTCCAATCAAATTGGAATAATCTTACAAATACAGCAAGTTTTTTCCCAGCTGCAAAATCAGACTCATTATAAATAATTATGCAGAAAATTAAAATATAAATAATTTAATTATAGAAAGCAAAATTTTACAAAATTTTATTTTTAGGCTTAATAAATTTACTCAATCGACTTTATCACTGAATTATGCAAAAGTTTGGATACTTAAACATAAATAATAATTTATAATTTGTTTCACCATCAATTTTAATTACCTTTTAGAGACTTTTTTCCCTCGTTCATTTTACAATTCATTTACATTCTCTTGTTTAAATTACGTTTCATACCTTCTATAGCAAATATAGTCGGCAAAATCAAAGAATGAAAAATGAATAAAAAAAATTTTAAAAAAAACGAAAGAGAAAAAAAAATTGAAAAATAAATTAATTCAAAAAATTTAATTCTAACAAAACTAAAGCAGAACAGAATCTTAAACGTTTAAAGAGTCCGCTTAATTATTTAGATTTAAAACAAGATTCAGACACAAAAACATATAATACATTACAGCATATACAAGTTGTTTCCTTCTGTAGCAAATATAGGCGGTAAAATCAAGGAACGAAAAATGAATAAAAAAATTTTTTTAAAAAAAAAAGAGAAGAAAAAGAAAGAGAGAAAAATTAAAAAATAATTTAATTCAAAAAATTAAATTTCAGTAAAACTAAAGCACAACAGAATCTTAAACGTTTAATCTTAAACGTTAAGCATATACAAGTTGTTTCCTATAGGAAACAACTTGTATACTCTTTACATATGTTATTAGGTAGGTAATAAAAACTGAAGTCGAAAAAATAAGTATTCTCACTAGGGATCCCAAATTCATATTGAAACGAGGAGGATAAAATCGATTCTGAAATCTCTTGAATGACTAATTTATTTCATTTTATAACCGGCGGTGAAAGGCCAACTCATTTTTGGATTTACGACTATTAATGTTCAACTACGTAACTTTGAAATTTTGAACCCAAACCAGAAGACAAGTAAACTCCTGGATTAAGCATTGAGATACATTAGAATTCGTGGAAGACTTATTGATGCAACTAACTAACATTTGCATAATATAGAAAGGAAAACCCCAGAGAATTATCGCATTCGTTAGCCACCGCTAGGATTCAAATCTGGTTTGTCTCACAGAAAGACGAGCGCCCTGCCCCCAGAACCACCTCAGCTCGTCGAAGCACTATATTATTATATTTTTGGAACAGCGGACCCAACTTTGGGTTTACGACTGCCAATGTTCAACTCCGTAGCCTTGTAATTTTGTACCCAATCCAGAAGACAAGGGAACTCCAAGATCAAGTATTGGAAGAAATTTGCCTTCTTGGAGGACTTTTCGAGGGAACTAACCCCCATTCGCGGTACATGGAGAGGGAAACCACGGAAACTTCCAACGGTTAGCCTGACGGCAGTGGAACTCTAACCCATGATCCGTCTACCGCTGAGGATATTTTACGGGAGAATATTCCAGCCACCGCTGAGATTCGAACCCAGTTCACCTCGCTGTAAGGTGAGCACTCTATCCCCTGATCCACCAAGGTTTATCCGAAACACTATGCACAAAATTGAAACAGAAAACATCAAAACCTGTTTAATTATCGGGGGGAAGCAGAGAAGAGTTGAAAGATGATTATTAAAACGACGCTTGCATTTTAACAGGCAATTAACTGGTTTAAGCTTTCTTTTTTTCTTACCTTAATATTTTTTGCAACTGCTAATGTGTACACTTTTTTTTACTATAATTTTGACAAGGATTCTCAAAATGTACATGAAGGGCAGTGATTATGAAGTACCCTGTATAAACCGTCCTGACTTTAAAGTATTTTGACGGAATTCAGTATTTTAGCAAAGACAAATAAAATTGAGGGGGATAATTAGAAAATATAAAATGATCGTAAGAGCGTTATTATTCAAATTTATAATTGTTTGAAGATCAATAGTCAATATAAAAAAGACACTTGTATAATTAATTTAGGATTTAATATTCTATAATTTATTTATTTCAATATATATACAGTGGGTAAAAAAAGTCTCCGTAAGCAGATACGAGTGCAAATCAAAGTTTAATTTGTCACACAAAATTCATAATGATAAAAATGTGTTAAAACTAATATTATTTAATATTTATTCATAGTAAAAGGATGATAATACTGACAAAATTAAATAATAAATATTAAAAACTCAAAAAATGCCGTAAACATAGAACAAAAAAGTCTCCTTACGGTGCCCCAGCACACGAAAAAAGTTTACAAAAATGCAAAATACATTTACAAAAATGCATTTAATGATCAGTGGGCCCTCCTTTGGCCTTTATCACCTCTCTTAGACGTTTTGGCATTACCCCTACAAGTTTTTTTTGTTGTTTCTGGAGAAATATTACACCAAATGCTACTAACGGCACTTTTGAGTTCAACTTTGTTTTTTATGTCATATTTTTTAAGTTGTCGGCCAATTTCTTCCCACAAGTGTTCGATGGGATTTAAATCGGGTGACTGGGGAGGGCTATGAAGTTGTTGTTTAAGATGGTTAAGGCACCACTCCAGGCAGGTATGTTTAGGATCGTTGTCCTGCTGAAAAGTAAATCCAGTTCCAAGAGATAGTTTCTCTGCGCTGGATAACACATTTTGTTTAAGAATATCTAGATATCCAAATCGATCCATAGTTCCCTCGATGAATTGCAAATTTCCTACTCCAGCAGCACCCATACACCCCCACACCATAACACCGCCACCACCGTGCTTCACAGTTCCGCATAAATTCTTAGTTAGCATTTGTTTGTTTGGTTTTCTCCACACCATAACTCGGCCATCTGACCCATGAATGTTAAATTTTGATTCATCACTAAAAAGAATGGATTCCCAAAAAGATAATGGCTTGCTTACATGCTTCTTTGCAAACTCGAGGAGCTTTTTCCTATTGCACAAACTTATATAGGGTTTCTTCCGGGCAGCACACCCATGATAACCACTGTTTTTAATGACATTTCTCACGGTTTGAGTTGAGACTTTAATGTTGTAACTAACCATTAAATCAGCTGCCAACCGCGGTGCACTAATTCGTGGATTTTCTTGAACTTGGCGTATGATGTTTCTTTTATGCACGCGATTTAATTTGGACGGCCTCCCGGATCGATCTCTATCCTCAAGTGAATGAAGTTTACGATATCTTTCAATGATATATTGCACAGTAGACTTCGATTTTTTAGTCATTTCACTAATCCTTCTCATGGATAATCCATCTTTTCGCAATTTAATCACTAATTCCCGAATAGCTCTGGGAACTTCCAGTTTGAGACGATCAACTTTAACGATTAACTTTCTAACGTCAAAGATTTATTGCGGGCCTGTTTTAAACACGTCAGAAAGAATTTGCATAAAGCGTACGGAAACTTTTTTTGCATTGCAAATTTCAACTTACCTTAGATATTGCAAATAATATGCTTTTCTCGTTTTGTAAAAATGAAAATTTATAAAAATCTCTTTCTATAGACTTATACTAAACACATATAGACAGTATTTAAAGAAAAAATGCAATACTTCACAAATTATGCTCATTTACTCTTAAATTTAGTGACCGTACGGAAACTTTTTTTACCCACTGTATATAAATTTATAATGATTGTAGCAATAATAGTTATTTACACACAAATGTCTGAAAACCAAGTAAATAAACGACTTACCTTAATTTATAACGCAGGTATTTTAAGTGCTTTTTAACTTAACCCAACACTAAAATTACAGACATCAAATTTTGTTGCTGATTCATAGAACGAAAAGTCATTTTAGAATGTGGAATGACAGTAATTGACAACAAAAGACTTAAGTCACGTAAAAATGTGATAAAATTTGAAGCAATGACATCAGACGTCATTATTGCACTAATTCCATCCTGTCTTCAAATTAGATCAGCTGGTAGAATGAGTGCTATAAATTCAGGATATGCTTATAAATCTAAATTATAACACCTTGCTATAATACTTATATTTTTCTCAAAAAATCCTAATTCGCAAATTTTTGATCACTGCCAAGAAATGAAAAGTAATTTTTTTTATTTATTTATTAACTTATTACATTAAAAAATAATAATTTTACTTCATTCATCAAATTCTTGTTTATTTTAAATTTTAAAAAATGCTGCTTGGCTCAAACACGCTTTTCTCAAAAATTTTTAAAACATTTTCTTTTTTCAATGGTGTCTATAGTTTCTCGGCTGCGGCTATGCAGCGGAAGAAACCTTTTATGGCAAATTTACTTTCATTTACATAAGTAATTGAAAGTTTGAAGCATATAAATTGATAAAAATAACGTCATCAACAATGTCGATATTATTGAAAGATGCCAGTTTATATAGTTTTTTAAATTCTACTGATTCCTTCAAGAGGACGCTATACAGCAGAAGAAATCCCTTATGGCTTACTTACTTTCACCTGCGTAAGTAATTTAAAATTTGAAGCATATAAATTGATAAAAATAACGTGATTAACAATGTCTATATTAGTGAAAGATGCCGGTTTATACAGTTTTTCAAATTCTACTGATTCCTCAAGAGGACGCTATACAGCGGAAGAAACCTTTTATGGCAAATTCACTTTCACCCACACAAGTAATTTAAAATTTGAAGTGTAGAAAAGG